GTCTCCGATCCAAACTTGGATTGTTTGGCCAATAAAGGAGCTAGTCAAGAGTGACTCCCACAGAGCTGTTCAGTACAACACTATAATTGAGACTGTTCAGTGACTTGGCTACATTAAAATATGAACATGGCCCATGCATGTTTTAGAATCTGAACCAGACATACTCGTGGTAGGGTTTGAACATCTTACACTCATGGAAGAATTGGAACATTTCACCGCCATGTGGGGACAGTGGCCCTATTGTGGAAGAACAAAAGCACAGACCAACTGCCCTCTAATGTGTCGTAAAAGATAGGAGTTGTTTCCTTCAAGGTAAGGAACTAATAGTCTGCATATAAAAAAGCCAGATCTGTAAATGGATGTGCACACAAACTCAAGTTCTGGATCAAGACCAGTGTCCATAAGTGAATGAAAAACCAGATATTTTTGCAAATTTACAGCCATTTAAACGTTTTACACTCATGTTAGGATTTAAATCTCATGCACTCATGGTAGGATTTGAATATCTCTAACTGGCAGGATTTGAACTGTTCCCATTTGCAGGATTTAAACATTTTTAGTAAGATTTAAACTTGTCACGCTTGTATAATTTGAACATTTTATACTAGTAGGATTTCAAAATTTTACACTTGTAGGATATGAACATACATATACTCATGGTAGGATTTAAACATTTCACACTTGTAGGATTTGAGTTTGCAACACAGATGTAGGATTTGAGTGTGACGTGACACACAGATGTAGAATTTGAGCGTGACACACAGATGCAGGCTGTGAGACAAATGAGACAGTGTTGATGGTCTCTTGGAGCTGCAGGTAATTACATTTTTAACTCTGTAAACACAGAAAATGCCCTTATACCAGTTGTCTTATGGGTAATTGTTTTGTGTTCTTGAATAAACAGAATTATCAGCATGTTATTCCTTTCTGAGAACTTGATAATTAAGTCTGTTCACTGTAATAAGAACTTGTGATTTAGTCTGTTCACTGTAATAAGAACTTGTGATTTAGTCTGTTCATTGTAATAAGAACTTGTGATTTAGTCTGTTCACTGTAATGAGAACTTGTGATTTAGTCTGTTCACTGTAATGAGAACTTGTGATTTAGTCTGTTTACTGTAATAAGAACTTGTGATTTAGTCTGTTCACTGTAATAAGAACTTGGTCATGTAGTCTGTTCACTGTAATAAGAACTTGTGATTTAGTCTGTTCATTGTAATGAGAACTTGTGATTTAGTCTGTTCACTGTAATGAGAACTTGTGATTTAGTCTGTTTACTGTAATAAGAACTTGTGATTTAGTCTGTTCACTGAAATAAGAACTTGTGATTTAGTCTGTTCATTGTAATGAGAACTTGTGATTTAGTCTGTTCACTGTAATGAGAACTTGTGATTTAGTCTGTTCACTGTAATAAGAACTTGTGATTTAGTCTGTTCACTGTAATGAGAACTTGTGATTTAGTCTGTTCACTGTAATGAGAACTTGGTCATTTAGTCTGCTCACTGTAATAAGAACTTTGTCATTTAGTCTGTTCACTGTAATGAGAACTTGTGATTTAGTCTGTTCACTGTAATAAGAACTTGTGATTTAGTCTGTTCACTGTAATAAGAACTTGTGATTTAGTCTGTTCACTGTAATAAGAACTTGTGTTTTAGTCTGTTCACTGTAAAGAGAACTTGTGATTTAGTTTGTTCACTGTAATGAGAACTTGTGATTTAGTGTGTTCACTGTAATGAGAACTTGTGATTTAGTCTGTTCACTGTAATGAGAACTTGTGATTTAGTCTGTTCACTGTAATAAGAACTTGTGATTTAGTCTGTTCACTGTAATGAGAACTTGTGATTTAGTCTGTTCACTGTAATGAGAACTTGTGATTTAGTCTGTTCACTGTAATGAGAACTTGTGATTTAGTCTGTTCACTGTAATGAGAACTTGTGATTTAGTCTGTTCACTGTAATGAGAACTTGTGATTTAGTCTGTTCACTGTAATAAGAACTTGTGATTTAGTCTGTTCACTGTAATGAGAACTTGTGATTTAGTCTGTTCACTGTAATAAGAACTTGTGATTTAGTCTGTTCACTGTAATGAGAACTTGGTCATTTAGTCTGTTGGCCACACTACTGTATGTTCTGAGTGCTAGGTTGCTCACTGCCACACATCTATGTGTTATTTGCTATGTGTACATTTTGGTTTGTTTTTTAAACCATATTCTGTGTTAGAGAAATTAATTTTTGTTTCTGTCTCTGGCTTGTTTTTCAGTGCCCATTAATCTGTCCCAGTGCCCCAGCCCCTCCCTGTGTTCCAGTGCCTCTTTCTGCGTCCTCTCTGCTCAAGTCCCTCTCTCTCTCTGTGCCCCAGACACCCCCCCCCCCTGTGTCCAAGAGCATCTTTCTGCTATTGTCCCTCCCTCTTTGTGTCCCAAGCTCCCCCCCCCCTCTGCCCTAGTGCCTCTCTCTCTGTGCCCCAGCCCCCTCTCTGTGTCCCAGTGCCCCTCTCAGTCTGTCTCACGCAGCTAACAAATGAACAAACATTAACAGCTGATATTTAATTCAGCATCGGCTGTCACTGACCATCAGCGACTGTACATGACATGGACATACAAGGTGTACAAGATACGCTTGTGTACATGTGAAATATAAATTACGAAAAAAAAGGTACATAAAAGATGGAGTAGAAGGCCAAAATGAGGCCTGCTGTATGTGCAGATGTGTGTAGTGATTAAAACTGCTCAAACAAGCACAAGAAAGACACCAGTAATGATAAAGTGCTGACACAGCCAGAGAATGGGGCAGCACGGGAGCACACTTCTAGCAGATGTTCATTCCCCTGTCTACCACAACAGCATCATCTGCCTGTAATCAACTGAGCGCCACCTTCTCAGAAACTCTGTCAAATATTGAACACTTCCCATAAAGTTGCTTTCATCCAAACAGTTTCAAAACCGGAATCTTCTAAAAAGGTTGCCAGAAAAGAATGTTATCTTCCCATAAACACGCCAGAAAAGGATGTTATCTTCCCATAAACACGCCAGCAAAGGCTATCTTCCCATTAACACGCCAGCCAAGGCTATCTTTTCATAAAGTTGCCAGCAAAGGCTGTTTCTGGTACAAACTCATCAAGAGTTTCCAGGCATACAGACACTGTTGTGTTTAAGTGTACAGTGTTGTGTACATCTCCCAGACCTGTGCTTCTGTACATTATTAATGAACTGTGAAACACACACACTCCCCTCTCCCCATGATAGCATCAGTGAGGTTCAGGTGGGAGTTGATTTTGATGCCACTAGCAACAGGCAGTGTGACCTTGACATAAATGACATTGACCTGTCAAATTAGAACATCTTTGCATAAAAACCCTAATCACAGACAGCAATAAAAGCAAGGGTGACCTGGTACATGTTCTACATGTGACCTTACAGTTCTAGGTGACCCAGTATAGTTCTAGATGACCTGATACATGTTCTAGATGAGCTGGTACATGCTCAATGTATATTAATATTCAATATCACAATCAATCAAGCAAATTAATGACACCATGTCTATTTGCACGACTAAACAAGCAAATTCATGTCTGGGTAAATGCACGCATGACAAGCTAAATGTTATGTACACGTATATGACCAGGCAACATAAGTATGAGATGAGGATAATGAGACCTGATGACCTGGCAACATAAGTATGAGGTGAGGATAACAAGACCTAATGACCTGGCCACAAAAGTATGAGGTAAAGATAATGAGACCTGATGACCAGGCAACATAAAATAAGGTGAGGATAATGAGACCTGACACAAGACTGGCTGCGAGAACAGCTCCCTGTTAGCAGCCATCGCTGTGGACTTGGATGGCAGCAAATGTAAAAGACAGCAGAAGTTCTACAAACACTACATGTGGCTACAATCCAGAACTTGCAGCCAGGACTTGACACAACTCAGGGAATTATGTCTCAGGAACTAACCGACCAACATCTTGGACCTGGTGTTAGGACATGTCCCAATAACTCACCGAGTTAAGATCATGAGAGGTTAGGACAGAACGACCACAAAGATACAGCATGCAATGGAAGCAAGTAGGTAGCAAATGTTTGCAGTAAGTACATGAAGCCATCAGATCCTGATGTGACCACAGACCCTGCTAGCAACTCATATGACACCTTGGAATGCTGATCGCTTGGTATATTTCACATAGTTCTCCCACACAAGCACCCAAACAAACACCCAGACAAGTGTTTGAATATGCATGCAACCACACACAAACTTCCCAAATAGGCCTCCATTGCAGCCACAGAAAAGCCTATTGCCTGCAGCCACACAGATGAGATCACCCAGCAAATAAGACTGGATACACTGCACTGATTATCTCATCTTCTCTAAACTGGATACACTGCATCCATTGTTATCTCATCTTCTCTAAACTGGATACACTACTGATTATCTCCATTTTCTCTAAAATGAATACACTGTACTGATGATCTCATTTTCTATAAACTGGATACACTGTATCCATTATTTTATCTCATCTTCTCTAAACTGGATACACTACTGATTATCTCATTTTCTCTAAAATGAATACACTGTACTGAGGATCTTATTTTCTATAAACTGGATAAACAGTACTGATCTTAATTTCTATAAACTGGATACACTGTATCCATTATGTTAACTCATCTTCTCTAAACTGGATACACTTTATTGATTATCTTATCTTTTCTGAACTGCACACAATGTATCCATTTATGTTATCTAAACTGGATATACTGTATTCATTGATCTCATCTTACCTAAACTGGATACACTGTATCCAGTAAGTTCTCTAATCTTATTTAGACTGAATACACTGTATCCATTATCTCAACTTATCTAAACTGGATAAACCATACCCATTATATTTATCTCATCTCATCTAGGGTAGATACACTGCATCCATTATCTTATCTTATGTTATCCTGCCTGGAGACACAACAGTATTCCATTATCAGCAACGCTGAATTTCACTGGCTGGTGTTACATGCGATCTTCAGTAATGCTGGTTGTCATTGGCTGGCTGCTGCAACTGCTGGGACTACAGGACATCAGCTCTGTGGAAACAGTGGGCGGAGTCAGTGAGGGGACAGCCAATCATATCACATACATTCTAACAGATATACAGCAGTGACACATATCAAGCCAGCAGTATACACTGGCAGGTTTTATATCACTGATATGTCACAGGATGGTCATTGTCACAGATAGTTGACATTACTACTGTTGCAGCTGACATCCCTATTGCCACAGCTGACATCACTACTGCTACAGCTGACATCACTACTGCCACAGCTGACATCACTACTGCCACAGCTGACATCACTACTGTCACAGTTGACATCACTAATGCCACAGCTGACATCACTACTGCCACAGCTGACATCACTACTGTCACAGCTGACATCCTTACTATCACAGCTGACATCACTACTGTCTCAGCTGACATTACTACTGTCACAGTTGACACCACTACTGTCACAGCTGACATCCCTACTTTCACAGCTGCCATCCTTACTATCACAGCTGACATCCCTACTGTCACAGCTGACATCACTACTGTCACCCCTACTGTCACAGTTGACATCCCTACTGTCATAGCTGATATCACTACTGTCACATCTGACATTACTACTGTCACAGCTGACATCCTTACTGTCAAAGCCGACATTACTACTGTAACAGCTGGCATCACTACTGTCACAGTTAACATCAATACTGTCACCCCTACTGTCACAGTTTACATCCCTACTGCCACAGATGACATCCCTACTGTCACAGCTAACATCCTTACTGTCACAGCTGACATCACTACTGTCACAGCTGACATCAATAATGACATCACTACTGTCACAGCTGACAATACCAATCTTTGGCTACCAACAACAAACAAATTAGGCATATAAAAAGAGTTGAAAATTCAGACAGATCATCAAGGCCATATTGTGTACATGGAAGTGTACATATAATGTATTCATGGAAGCATACATACAATGTGTACATGGAAGCGGAGATATAATGTGAAGATGTAAGTGGACACATAAGTTTTGAGCTGAATTATCGTCATGGCACTCAGGACACATCCACAGGTGCTCAGATCTCCTCTTCAGCATCCAGCTGGTAACAAGACTTCTTGCACGTCCGATGTCCAATTCTCGTATTCCTAGCACTGAGCTGCTACAGAAAACCTCTCTCTAAAGGAATTAACAATGTTGGTGCGATCCAGAGGCTGGCCATCTGCAACAGAGGCTGAAACTGCCAGTCTGTCAGCTCTTTCATTGCCAACAACACCTATATGCCCTGGGACAAAGAAAATGGTAACTTCCCGCACAATGGAGTTTGCAATGATTCAGTCCACTGTGTACATAGTCTGCCTCAACCTGCTGGATGATGCTCACAGAATCACTCAGCTCATACACGTGGGAATAGTCCTTTGAGTGCATCCACATGAAAGCTCATGTGACTGTCACAATGCCATGCTGCTGGTGGTCATAAAGAAGAAACAGCTCATTTCCTGGACTGTTCTGCCCGTACTGTAACAAGCTCATATAGTTTCTCTTTTTTAAATAAAGCATTCAGTAAAAAAAACCACATGCAAGAGACGACAAACTCATAACAGTTTTAGTTGAAATTTATGAATAAAATAGAACCTTCACCAAAACATGCAATTTATGCAAGGAAAAAAACCCAGAGGTATTGAAATAAACTGTAAGCATAAACATGGGTATTAACAAAAAATTAGGTATTAAAATAAATCTGGGTATCAACATAAAGCTGCGTATTAAATAGTAACAACAAAATTGGATGCTGACACAAACCCTAAGCATAAACCTGGGTACTGACATGAACCTGGGTATTAACATAAAGCTGGGTGCTGACATAAAGCTGAGTATTAACAAAAGGCTGAGTACTGGTATAAAACTGGGTACTGACATAAAACTGGGTACTGACATAAAGCAGAGTACTAATATAAAACTGGGTACTGACATAAAGCTGAGTACTGATATAAAACTAGGTACTGACATAAAGCTGAGTACTGATATAAAACTGGGTACTGATATAAAACTTTGTACTGATTTAAAGCTGAGTACTGATATAAAACTGGGTACTGACATAAAGCTGAGTTCCTATATAATGCTGAGTACTGACATAAAGCTGTGTAGTAAATATTATCATTATATTAATATGGAGGGAACAATTACGTCACAGGGACATGGAGGGAATAATTATATAACATGGATGTAGAGGGAACAATAATATCACAGGGATGTGGATGGAAAAATGATATCACAGGGATGTAGAGGGAACAATAATATCACAGGGATGTAGAGGGAACAATGAAATCACAGGGATGTGGAGGGAACAATAATATCACAGGGATGTGGAGGGAACAATGGTATCACAGAGATGTGGAGGGAACAATGATTTCACAAGGATGTGGAGGGAAAATGATATCACAGGGATGTGGAGGGAATAATGATATCACAGGGATGTGGAGGGAATAATGATATCACACAGATGTAGAGGGAACAATAACATAATAGGGATGTTGAGGGAACAATTATTTTCACAGGGATGTAGATGGGACAATGATATCACAGGGATGTGGAGGGAACAATGATATCACAGGGATGTGGAGGGAACAATGATATCACAGGGATGTGGAGGGAAAAATGATATCACAGGGATGTAGAGGGAACAATAATATCACAGGGATGTAGAGGGAACAATGAAATCACAGGGATGTGGAGGGAACAATAATATCACAGGGATGTGGAGGGAACAATGGTATCACAGAGATGTGGAGGGAACAATAATTTCACAAGGATGTGGAGGGAAAATGATATCACAGGGATGTGGAGGGAATAATGATATCACAGGGATGTAGAGGGAATAATGATATCACAGGGATGTAGAGGGAACAATAACATAATAGAGATGTTGAGGGAACAATTATTTTTACAGGGATGTAGATGGGACAATGATATCACAGGGATGTGGAGGGAACAATGATATCACAGGGATGTGGAGGGAACAATGATATCACAGGGATGTGGAGGGAACAATAAGATCATACAGATGTGGAGGGAACAATAATATCACAGGGATGTGGAGGAAACAATGATATCACACAAATGAAAAGGGAACAATGATATCAGAGGGGCATAGAGGGAACAATATCAGAGGGATTTGGAGGGAACAATGATATCACAGGGATGTGGAGGGTACAATGACATCACAGGGATGTGAAGGGAACAATAATATAACACAGATGAGGAAACAATGACATCACACAGATGTAGAGGGAACAATGACATCACACAGACTTGAAGGGAACTAACAATGACATCACACAGTTGTAGAGGGTACAATAAGATCACAGGGACGTGGAGGAAACAATGATATCACAGGGACCTGCAGGGAACAATGAAATCACACAGATGTAGAAGGGAAAAATGACATCACATATGTGGAGAAAACAAAGACATCACACAGGTGTGGAGGGAACAATGATACCATACAGATGTGAAGGGAACAATGACATCACACAGATGGGGAGGGAACAATGACAAGAGACAGGTGTGGAACAATGACATCACACAAACAGGGAGGGAACAATGACATCACACAGATGGGGAGGGGAAAATGATATCACACACACATGGAGGGAACAATGATATCACAGGTAGGTCAAGGAAACAATGACATCACACAGATGGGGAAGGAACAATTATATCACACAGACAGGGATGCAACAATGACACCACAGGGACATGATCCCACACAAACATGGAGGGAACAATGACATCAACAGACAGGTAGGGAACAATGACATCACACAGATGGGGAGGGAACAATTGATATCACACAGACATGGAGGGAACAATGACATCACACAGATGGAGAGGGAACAATGACATCACACAGATGGGGAGGGAACATTGATATCACACAGACATGGAGGGAACAACGACATACAGATGGAGAGGGAACAATGACATCAACATACAGGCAGGGAACAATGACATCACACAGACAGGGATGGAACAATGATACCACACAGACATGGAGAGAACAATAACATCAACAGACAGGTAGGGAACAATGACATACAGATGGGGAGGGAACACTGACAAGAGACAGGTATGGAACAATGACATCACACAGATGGGGAGGGAACATTGATATCACACAGACATGGAGAGAACAATGACATCACACAGATGGAGAGGGAACAATGACATTACACAGATGGGGAGGGAACATTGATATCACAGACATGGAGGGAACAATGACACAGATGGAGAGGGAACAATGACATCAACAGACAGACAGGGAACAATGACATCACATGGACAGGGATGGAACAATGACATCACACAGATGGGGAGGGAACACTGATATCACACAGACATGGAGGGAACAATGACATCACACAGATGGGGAGGGAACATTGATATCACACAGACATGGAGGGAACAATGACACACAGATGGAGAGGGAACAATGACATCAACAGACAGGCAGGGAACAATGACATCATACAGACAGGGATGGAACAATGATACCACAAGGACATGAACAATGATACCACACAGATGTGGAGGGAACAATGACATCAACAGACAGGTATGGAACAATGACATCACACAGATGGGGAGGGAACATTGACAAGAGACAGGTATGGAACAATGACATCACACAGATGGGGAGGGAACATTGATATCACACAGACATGGAGGGAACAATGACATCACACAGATGGAGAGGGAACAATGACACCAACAGACAGACAAGGAACAATGACATCACATTGGGAGTGAAAAATGACACCACACAGATGGGGAGGGGGAAATAATATCACACACACATGGAGGGAACAATGAAATCACAGGGAGGTCGAGGAAACAAGGACATCACAGGGACACAGAGGGAACAATGTCATCAACAGACAGGTAGGGAACAATGACATTACACTGATGGGGAGGGAACAATGACATCAGACAAATGGGAAGGGAACAATGACATCACACAGATGGGGAGAAAACAATGACATTACGCAGAAATGGAGGAAACAAGGATATCACATTAATGGGGAGGGAAAAATGATCAAACTGACATGGAGGAAACAAGGACCTCAAACAGGCGTGGAGGGAAAAATAACATCACAGATTTGAGGGAACAATTACATCACACATGCATTTATCATTTATTTAATATAAGGTAATGTATATCTGAGACATGCCACACACAACAATGGGGAGAGTTGTACAGTTAGGGCAGGTTTTATCTGAGACATGCCACACACAACAGTGGGGACAGTTGTACAGTTAGAGCAGGTTATATCTGAGACATGCCACACACAACAATGGGGAGAGATGTACAGTTAGGGCAGGTTCTATCTGAGACAAGCCACATACAACAGTGGGGAGAGGTGTACAGTTAGGGCAGGTTCTATCTGAGACAAGCCACATACAACAGTGGGGACAGTTGTAGTTAGTGCAGGTTCTATCTGAAACAAGCCACATACAACAGTGGGGAGAGTTGTACATTTAGGGCAGGTTCTATCTGAGACATGCCACACATAACTGTGGGGAGAGTTGTACAGTTAGGGCAGGTTCTTTCTGAGACATGCCACATACAACAGTGGGGAGAGTTGTACAGTTAGGGCAGGTTCTATCTGAGACATGCCACACACAACAGTGGGTAGAGTTGTACAGTTAGGGCAGGTTCTATTTGAGACATGCCACACACAACAATAGGGAGAGATGTACAGTTAGGGCAGGTTCTATATGAGACAAGCCACACACAACAGTGGGGAGAGTTGTACAGTTAGGGCAGGTTCTATCTGAGACATGCCACACAGACACAAGACAACATGGAGTGCAGTAAACAACCTGTTGGTAGACACAGTTTACTCTTACTGTTCAGTCCCTACATGATGATGATGGCAGCAAAGTTGGAATAAAACAAGAGCAGCAGTTAGTATCAAAGAATCACCATCAAATATATACATTTAATTCTGTCTAAAATGTATCCAGCATTTCATTAAACTAGTTGACACCTGTGGCATCGCAAATGAGTTTCACAACCCCCCCCCCCCCCGAATGTCCAGCGGTAGGCTCCTATATGTCTGTAATCTACTTACAATATGTCTCCTGAATGTCTGTAATCTGTCTACCAGATGTGTGGAGACAATCAATGTCAGAGACAGGGGCAATAACTGAGACGGTATCAACTGGCTGTGGCTACTGGCAAGCAATAGGATCTTGCAAAGATGACTGATAACTGGTACAGGTTAGTGGCAAACAACAAGAGTTAGTGATGACCACAAAGTCCAGTAAATGGGGGGTAGGTTAGTGGCAAGCGATGATACAAGCAAAAAACCTGGCAACCAGTGTTAAGGATTATTGGTTGATCTGGAAACCAGTTGAGGGCCCAAGCTGGGTCCCTTGGCAAGCACCACTTACCCCTTGCTACTGACCAGAAGTGACCTTGCACTAATTTAATAATCCCGGCGGAAAGCTGGGTAGGGGCGCCGGTAGTGACTGCCTGCCGACTGGTCATCCTGGTGCTGGGCGGATGCTGAGGTGTACTGTAAACATAAGACAAGTCACATGACCCCTGCTTGAAGGCAAGCAGGCTTCTGACTTGTGGTATCTTCTCTCGCTCTCTCTCTCTCTCAGACAGACAGATCAGGTAGGTTTCCAGGGCCCCATTTTGAAGGGAAAAGTTTAGGAGTAGAAAACTGTAGTATGTTGGTGAGATCACCTGGTAACTGTAATGTGTTGGCGAGATCACTTGTGAATGTGGTGTGTTGGTGAGATCACCTGTGAATGTAGTGTGTTAGTAGTGAAATCACCTGGTAATTGTTGTGTGTTGGTGATATCACCTAATGATTGTAGTGTGTTAGTGAGATCACCTGGTGATTGTAGTCTATTGGTGAGATCACCGGCTGACAGCTACTTTCACTGCACCTGTGAGGTGACAGCTACTTTCACTACACCTGTGAGGTGACAGCTACTTTCACTACACCTGTGAGGTGACAGCTACTTTCACTACACCTGTGAGGTAACAGAAACTTTCACTACACCTGTGAGGTGACAGCTACTTTCACTACACCTGTGAGGTGACAGCTACTTTCACTACACCTGTGAGGTGACAGCTACTTTCACTACACCTGTGAGGTGACAGCTACTTTCACTACACCTGTGAGGTGACAGCTACTTTCACTACACCTGTGAGGTGACAGCTACTTTCACTACACCTGTGAGGTGACAGCTACTTTCACTACACCTGTGAGGTGACAGAAACTTTCACTACACCTGTGAGGTGACAGCTACTTTCACTACACCTGTGAGGTGACAGCTACTTTCACTACACCTGTCAAAGGTAATAAATGATGGTCTTATCTCTTCCAGGTTGGGTTTTAAAAAAAAAGGGCTACAGAAATGTAAGTCTTTAGGGTAGTTTCTAAACTGTTTCAGCTCTAGAAAATTTAGTCTGTTAAAAAAAATTTTTTTTAAGTGAGAACTTTAGCAAGTTTAGTCTGTAAATATAGGTCTGTACAACATTAGTTTTGTAAACAGCTTGTACTAAAAGAAAAAAAAAAAGTTAGAACTATACATCAGAACTACAAAAAGCTAAGTTTGCTGGAAGTTAGGTCTGATGAAAGTTTGAATTCTAGACAGTTAGGTCTGTTAAAAGCTGTCTGCTGAAGGTCTTAATTGTTGTTAGATCAGTTGAAAGTCTGAATTCTAGACAGGTCTGTTGAAAGCTGTCTGCTGAAGGTTTTAATTCTAGATAGGGCTGTTGAAAGTCTAAATTCTAGACAGTTAGGTCTGTTGAAAGCTGTCTGTTAGAGGGTCTTAATTCTAAACGGTTAATTTAAAGGTAGGTCCATAGAAAGATGTCAGGTCTATAAAAAAATGGTTAGGTCCCTGGCAGCCATTTTCTGCAAAGCCTCTAAATTTTAAAAGAAGAGAGAAATATCATCAGAACAGCATCATATACAGGATGGATGGAGGAACTAACAAACTGCCAATATGACCATATACAGAAGAAATGGATGAGTTATCTAATGCTATATGCTCACACACCACAGGCATGGATGGCCGTTGGTATTCTGGAAGCAGACAGAAGACACAGCAACAGATATCATTACAATCGGAGACAAACCTTAGAGTTGGCAATCTTTGGATTTCTGGAGGGCCCCTGTCTTCTGGTTGTGATGCTCCGTCTCTCCCGATCAAACTCCAAGTCCTCCAATCTCTGAGTCAACGCTAGCTTCTGCTGAATGGCCATACGCAGCAAGGAATTCAGGGTTTTCTTCTCTTCTTCAGCTGCAGACAGCTGTCTCTGCATCTCGTCCAGTTGTGTCACGTACTCATCACAGCGCTGTGCAAACATGGCCCGCAGGGAGGCAAACGTGGCAGCATCTTCTTTCAAAGATTTCAGCTCATTTCTCAGTTTCATCATGGTTTCGGTAACAATAACCTTCTCGTTTTCATATTTCTGTTTGAGGTTTGCCAGAGCCACCTCAGCTGTTGACTTGTTGGCCTTTAGAACTGAGCGAAGTGTGGCTATCTGTTCCCGTTTGGTAGACAACATGGCTTTGAGCTTCACCACCTGGGGACAACATCAGGAAATAATGACTTCCAACACAGGTACATCAAGCTGGGGATAACACAAGGAAATTTAAAACTTCCACTAGAGGTACATGAGAAACAGAACATATGGTCCCCAATTCAGTTTCTCCAAACGTTATCAGTGTAACCACTGTCAGCAGTGTAACTACTGTCAGCACGGGGGATGGGGTACAAAAGGAAAAATGTGATAATGTGAACTAGGAGATAACATGAACAATGTGATGATTTGAACAAAGTGATAACATGAACAGTGTGCGGATGTGAACAAGATGATAACATGAACAATGTGATGATGTGAACAAGATGATAACAGAAACAATGTATGATGTGAATAAGATAACATGAACAATGTGAACAAGACAATAACATGAACAAGATGATGTGAATGAGATAACATGAACAGTACGATAATGTTAACAAGATAACAGGAACAATATGATGATGTGAACAAGGCAATAACATGAACATTGTGAGGACATCAACAGTGGAACAGTGCGAATACATGAATTATGTGACGAGGTGAACAACAAGGACAGACAAGTGACCTGTTCTTGCAGCTCCTGGCGATCATCATCATCACCAGCCTCCTCAGAGCCATGACTGCCTTGCTGCTGCCACTGCTTGGACATCTCCATGAGATGTTCAATGGCTCGACGGAGAAACTTCACCTGTGAGAAGGTAACAAACTATCTTAACCAAAGAACCCTGCACATCACATCATCTCACGCACCCTGTACCGGTCAATTAGAGTGTGCACAATGTATCAATCCGTAAAGTTGTGCACTGTACCAGTCAGCCACAGTGTGCACACTGTACCAGTTAGCCAATGTGTACAGACTGTACCAGTCAGCCAATGTGTACAGACTGTACCAGTCAGCCAATGTGTACAGACTGTACCAGTCAGCCAAACTGTACAGACTGTACCAGTCAGCCAAAGTGTGCAAACTGAACCAGCCAGCCAGTGCGCACATTGTACCAGTCAGCCACAGTGTACAGACATTACCAGTCAGCCACAGTGTACAAACTGTACCAGTCAGTTAAAGTGTACAGAGTGTGTACCATTTAGCCAAAGTGTGCATGCTGTACCAGTCAGTCAGCCAAAGTGTGTGCACTGTACCAGTCAGCAAAAATGTGCACACTGTACCATTCAGTCAAAATTGCACACTGTACCAGTCAGCCAAAATGTACACACTGTACAAGTCAGCAAAAATGTGCACACTGTACAAGTCAGCCAAAATGGACACACTGTATAAGTCAGCCAAATGTGCACACTGTACCAGTCAGCCACAGTGTATGCACTGTACCAGTCAGCCAACCAAAGTGTGCACACTGTACAGTCTATACCAGTCAGCCAAAATGTTAACACTGTACCAATCAGCTTAAGTGAGCATACTGTACCAGTCAGCCTTAAACTAACCAAAATGATCAAACGAACACACTCACATCAAGATTTTGTTCAATCTATTATACACTGCAAGTTTCAGATAAGATAAACTCACCTGGTCTATGACAGTCTCTGACAAGATGACTTGAACTGTACAAGACAGTCATAGACAGACTCAGCTAGTCTATGAGTCCCAGACCAGATAAACAGACTCAGCTAGTCTATCAGTTCCAGACAATACCGACTGACCTGGTCTATGTCTCATTCAAGATATGCAGACTTACCTGGTCTATCTGTCCCAGACAAGACAGACTTGCCTATAATAACCTTAGACAGATTCACCTAATCTATTTTCCCAGAAAGGATAGACAGACTTGCCTATAATAACTTAAGACAGACTCACCTGGTCAACAATAGTCTCAGACAAGGTGCCGCAGGATGTTGGATCTGACTTGCTGTTGTTGCCAGGAGAGGATTTTGATCTGGATCTACTGTGGGCTTGTTTCCCCTCAGATTTTGGAGTAGAGGTGAAGGCTGGGTCACAGCTCACTGATATGTCAGGCTCTCCTTCCTTACAACAAAGACATTCACATGAAACAGTCAGTACGAAGAGATCAGTACATTACCAGAGATAACAGTACTCAAAACCCAGGTTTAACAACAACTCAACCACCAGCTGTAACAACAGTCACCACAAACATATACAATGATCTCACAGACAGTCACCACTAACATATACCAATATCTCACAGACAGTCACCACAAACATATACAATTATCTCACAGACAGTCACCAATAACATATACAATTATCTCACAGACAGTCACCACTAAAATTACAATTATCTCACAGACAGTCACCACTAAAATTACAATTATCTCACAGACAGTCACCACTAAAATTACAATTATCTCACAGACAGTCACCACTAAAATTACAATTATCTCACAGACAGTCACCACAAACATATACAATTATCTCACAGACAGTTACCACAAACAGATACAATTATCTCACAGACAGTCACCACTAACATATACAATTATCTCACAGACAGTCACCACAAACATTTACAATTATCTCACAGACAGTCACCACAAACATATACAATTATCTCACAGACAGTTACCACAAACATATACAATTATCTCACAGACAGTTACCACAAACATATACAATTATCTCACAGACAGTCACCACAAACATATACAATCATCTTACAGACAGTCACCACAAACATATACAATTATCTCACAGACAGTCACCACAAATATACACAATTATCTCACAGACAGTCACCAATAACATATACAATTATCTCACAGACAGTCACCACTAAAATTACAATTATCTCACAGACAGTCACCACAAACATATACAATTATCTCACAGTCACCACAAACATATACAATTATCTCACAGACAGTTACCACAAACAGATACAATTATCTCACAGACAGTCACCACTAACATATACAATTATCTCACAGACAGTCACCACAAACATTTACAATTATCTCACAGACAGTCACCACAAACATATACAATTATCTCACAGACAGTTACCACAAACATATACAATTATCTCACAGACAGTTACCACAAACATATACAATTATCTCACAGACAGTCACCACAAACATATACAATTATCTTACAGACAGTCACCACAAACATATACAATTATCTCACAGACAGTCACCACAAATATACACAATTATCTCACAGACAGTCACCAATAACATATACAATTATCTCACAGACAGTCACCACTAAAATTACAATTATCTCACAGACAGTCACCACAAACATATACAATTATCTCACAGTCACCACAAACATATACAATTATCTCACAGTCACCACAAACATATACAACTATCTCACAGACAGTCACCACTAACATATACAGTTATTTCATAGACAGTCACCACTAACATATACAGTTATCTCACAGACAGTCACCACTAACATATACAGTTATCTCACAGACAGTCACCACTAACATATACAATTATCTCACAGACAGTCACCACTAACATATACAATTATCTCACAGACAGTCACCACTAACATATACAGTTATCTCATAGACAGTCACCACTAACATATACAGTTATCTCACAGACAGTCACCACTAACATATACAGTTATCTCACAGACAGTCACCACTAACATATACAGTTATCTCACAGACAGTCACCACAAATATATACAATTATCTCACAGACAGTCACCACTAACATATACAATTATCTCACAGACAGTCACCACTAACATATACAATTATCTCAGAGACAGTCACCACTAACATATACAATTATCTCACAGACAGTCACCACTAACATATAGTTATCTCACAGACAGTTACCACTAACATATACAATTATCTCACAGACAGTCACCACTAACATATACAACTATCTCACAGACAGTCACCACAAACATATACAATTATCTCACAGACAGTTACCACAAACATATACAATTATCTCACAGACAGTCACCACTAACATATACAATTATCTCACAGACAGTCACCCCTAATACATATATCAGCTACACCACAGAAAGGGCTCAATGGAAACCTACCTTGCCATTCTCTATCACAGATCTGTTTGAATTCTCTTCGGGTGAAGCAGCTGTAGGAGAAGGATCTTCTAGTTCACTCACCATGCCATTCTTGGCATGATCCAGCATAACACGGGACGGGGTGTCACCAGTTACCTGGCAAACCAAGTGGTACAACTGAGCCAGATCTTCAGTAATCCGGCTCAACTCTGCCTGCAGACTGTCCAGGCTGGCCTGGGACCTGCTGGCTGATTGTGTGGCAGACTTGAGATCATTCTCCTGCTCTTTGATTGTCCGCTCGTACTGGTCACATTTGTCAGTCAACTCTGCTAGAGCCTGCAAGTTCATCAATATTCAGTCAGCACAACCAGCTGAGGTAACTCAACAGGAAACTACATTAACCTACAGATAAACTCAACAACCAGCTGAGGTAACTCAATAGGAAACTATTAATTTGGAATACTTTATTAATTTGACCTATACCTGTGATAAACAGCACTGGGATACAGAACAATACCACATGGACTCCAGACTGTAAACAGAACTTTCCTGTTATTCCAGCATTTGATCTCACTATACCTTGGCTATTGCAGTATATATGTTTACCAGATGCTGACTAATCCACAGGCCCTTGGATTTTCCCAAAATAGTTGACCCAATAAAATGCTTTTTTTTCTTGATCTATGTATATAGTATTTTTCATAGTCTATTGTTTTCTCTGCTACCTGTCAGAGGGTAAAGATGGCATCAATGACTTCTTCATGTCAATGTAAAATGCTTCATAAAGGACTATGCTACATACAGACCAACTCATCCATAGAAGACAAAGTTGTACAGATCAACTTAAAACATTGTTGTATACAGCTCAACAAAAGAAAAAAGTTATATAATCTATTCTCAATACAAGGCACAGCTGCACCTTTCAATACAAGTAATAGTAGCACAGGCCAACATAAATTACAAGTTACAGACCAACACAAGAAACAGTTTGAGACCAACACAAGACAAAGTTGCACTCAGCAACACAAGAAAAAGTTTCATAAACATAGCACAAGTTGCATAAATCAACACAAGAAAAATCTGCACAGACCAAAACAAGAAAAGTTGCACAGAACATAAGACAAATTTGCATAAACCAATGCAAGAAAAAGTTGCATAGATCACGATAAAGTTGAACAGATCAACACAAGATGAAGCTGTGAAGATGTTGTGACCAAAAAAAACAAAAAAAAACTGGATGACCAACAAGACTAAGTTGCATAGACCAACTAAAAAATGTGGCTTATACCAATATGAGAATTATTTAATTATTGTAATTATTTAAGAAAACATTGCACAGATCACAACAAGAAAATGCTGCACAAGACAAAAGTTGCACAGATCAACACAATACAAAGTTGAATAGACTAACATAAAACAACACTGCACAGATCAACACAATACAAAGTTGAATAGACTAACATAAAACAACATTGCACAGATCAACATAATACAAAGTTGAATAGACTAACATAAAACAACATTGCACAGATCAACACAATACAAAGTTGAATAGACTAACATAAAACAACATTGCACAGATCAACACAAGATAGAATACAACAACTGGAAACAGATGATATTGATGATGACTTCTATGCAGGACCCACCTTATCTATGCGAGGGTCTGCCCCAGTTACAGAGTTCCTGTTCTGTAGCCGGCTGATCTCAGTGCGCAGGTTGTTGATCTCTCTCATGGCCGTGCTGTACTTCTTCTCGTGGTGCTGCAGGTTCTGTTTCAGCTCCAACAGCACCTTCTTGTCTGGGTCAGTTTCTAGAGCAATCTCTGCCAGCAGCCCTTCATCATAGGACACCTGTAACAACATGGGTACAAAACATGACTGACTCCTTCCACACATGTGACTTTTTAACAACATGGGTACAGAACATGGCTGACTCCTTCTGTATATCTCTTAACAACATGGATACCAAACATGACTGAATCCTATATCACAGGAGACTCAATGATATGGATACAACACATGACTGACTCCATTACAGAAGACCTGAAGGACATGGGTACAACACAAGACTCACTCCATCACAAGAGACCTGAACGACATGGGTTCAACACAAGACTGACTCCTTCATCATATGAGAACTCAACTACATGGGTACAAGACATGAGCAACTCCTTCATCATAGAAGAACTTGGCATGAGTACAAGACATTACTGACTCCTTCATCACAGGAGAACTCAAGGACATGGGTACAAGACATGACCAACTCCTTCATCATAGGGAAACTCAATGCCATGGGTACAAGACATTATTGACACCTTCATCATAGAAGAACTCAACATGTCTACAAGACATTACTGACTCCATCATAGGAGAACTCAACGACCTCGGTACAAGACATGACTGACACCTTTATCATAGGAGAACTCAACAACATGGGTACAAGACATGACAGACTTTCATCATAGGAGAACACAATGACATGGGTACAAGACATGACTGACTCTTTCATCATAGGAGAACTCAACGACATGGGTACAAGACATAACTGACTCTTTCATCATAGGAGAACTCAACGACATGGGTACAAGACATGACTGACTCTTTTATCATAGGAGAACTCAACAACATGGGTACAAGACATGACTGACTTTCATCATAGGAGAACACAATGACATGGGTACAAGACATGACTGACTCTTTCATCATAGGAGAACTCAACGACATGGGTACAAGACATGACTGACTCTTTTATCATAGGAGAACTCAACAAATAGGGTACAAGACATGACCGACTTCTTCCTCATAGGAGAACTCAATGACATGGGTACAACATAAGACTGACTCTTTTATCAAAGGAGACCTCAACGACATGGGTACAACACACGACTGACTCCTTTATCATATGAGAAAATGACAAGGGTACAACACATGACTGACTGACTCCATTATATGAAAACTCAACAACATGGGTACAACACATGACCAACTCCTTCATCACAGGAGAACTAAACGACACGGATAACACATAACCGACTCCTTTTTCATAGCAGATCTCAATGACATGGGTACAACCCATGACTGACTCCTTTATCATAGGAGATCTCAATGATATGGGTACAACACATGACTGTCTCCTTCATCATTGGAGAACCTGACTGGATTACAAAACATTACCGACTCCTTCATCATAGGAGAACTCAACATGACTACAAGACATTACTGACTCCTTCATCATAGGAGAACTCAACGACATAGGTACAACACATGACTGATTCCTTCATCATAGGAGAACTCAATGACATGGGCACAAGACAGGAGTGACTCTTGATCACAGGAGAACTCAACGTGGGTACAAGACGTGACTGACTCCTTAATCTAGGAGACCTGAAGGACATGTGTACAGCAAATGCGACTCATAAATCTCTTCCAGTCATGCCATTCTTATGCCCGTTATCCCCCCCACCCCAAATGAAGCATAAGCTCTATACAAAACCAAAATCATTCTGCTTGCGACATTCTCATAGTTGACTTTTCTAGCTGTACAGATTTATGAGGCAGCCAACCCAAAGTTGCACCATATGCTCTAGCCATGTAATTACTGAAGCATCATCACTGAAGCATCATCACTAAAACATCACTACTGAAACATCATTACTGAAGCATCATCACCTAAGCATCATTACTAAAACTTTATTACTGAAACATCATCAGGGAAGCATCATTATTGAAGCACCAATACTTGAACATCATTACTGAAGCATCATTACCAAAACATCATTACTGAAGCATCGTTATCAAAAATTCATTACTAAAACCTCATTACTGAAGCATCATGACTGAACATCATTACTGAAGCAATTCCAATCACACGATTTGGTAAACAACTTTCTCTTGTCTGCTGCCAGCAATCAACAACCAAAAAAAAAGAAGCAGCAATATGCTTGCAGGTCATGGTATGACAATGAGACCGTCATGTAAAGATGCAAGGTTCAACAAATAAGAAGCCGGAAGGGCAGAGAACTCACCTGCAGATCATGGTACGACAATGAGACTGTCGTGTAAAGATGCAAGGTTCAACAAATAAGAAGCCGGAAGGGCAGAGAACTCACCTGCAGATCATGGTACGACAATGAGACTGTCGTGTAAAGATGCAAGGTTCAACAAAAAAGAAGCCGGAAGGGCAGAGAACGCACCTGCAGGTCATGGTACGACAATGAGACTGTCATGTAAAGATGCAAGGTTCAACAAATAAGAAGCCGGAAGGGCAGAGAACTCACCAGCAAGTCATGGAACGACAATGAGACCGTCATGTAAAGATGCAAGATTCAACAAATAAGAAGCCGGAAGAGCAGAAAACTCACCTGCAGGTCATGGTATGACAATAAGACCGTCGTGTAAAGATGCAACGTTCAACAAACAAGAAGCCGGAAGGGCGGAGAACTCACCTGCAGGTCATTAGGCAGCAGGGATGCTCTGTCGTGTAGAGATGCTACATGAGATATGGTGGCTTTCAGGTTGTCTGCCCTTTCCTTCTGCTCAATGAGATCCTTCTGTGTGTCCTCGATAAGTTTCCTGGCTTCGTCTAATGCTTTCTGTAGCTCCAGTTTCTCAGACTCAGACTGATCCAAGAGTGATTCCAATTTGCCGACTTCTGTCACCTGAAATAGATTCCATACAAGATAACAAAAAATACAATCTATAAACAAACACTCAACATCACATGCACACATTCAAGAAGATACACACCGTCATGAGGCTCCTTCAAAATTATATTTTTCTCTCTCGTTCGAGCCCTTGTATTTCATTTATTTACCCCTATATAAACATCTAGGTATAGTGCTAGTCACAGACACACAGTTTCAGGGCAATTGCCTTACTGAACAGAACCATAGATATACATATGTACACAGGGGTTTCATGGCAATCGCCTTACTGAACAGAACCACAGATATACATATGAGTACGTAGTAACTCATATCTATGTTTATCTAAGGTCTTTTTCCATGTAACACTCACAAAAAATATTTCACAAGAGACAGGGGACAAGAGATGACAGACATGGGGATAGGAGAGAAAGACAGGGGATAGGAGATGACAGAGAGAAAGACAGGGGACAGGAGATGATAGAGAGAAAGACAGGAGACAGGAGATGATAGACAGACAGGAGATGACAGAGAGAAAGTCATGGGACAGGAGATGACAGAGAGAAAGACATGGGACAGGAGATGATAGACAGACAGGAGATGATAGAGAGAAAGTCATGGGACAGGAGATGACAGAGAGAAAGACAGGGGACAGGAGATGATAGACAGACAGGAGATGACAGAGACAGAGGACAGAGAGATGAGAGAGAGATAGACATGGGATATGAGATGACAGAGAGAAAGACAGGGGATGAGATGATAGAGAGAGAGGAGATGACAGACAGAAAGACAGGGGATGAGATGATAGAGAGACAGGAGAAGACAGAGAAAAAGACATGGGACAGGAGATGACAGAGAGAAAGACAGGGGACAGGAGACGATAGACAGACAGGAGATGACAGACAGGGGACAGAGAGATGAGAGAGAGATAGACATGGGACATGAGATGACAGAGAGACAGGAGATGACAGACAGAAAGACAGGGAACGAGGTGATAAAGAGACAGGAGATGACAGAGAAAAAGACAGGGGACAGGAGATGACAGAGAAAAAGACAGGGGACAGGAGATGACAGAGAGAAAGACAGGGGACAGTAATCACCTGAATCTCACTGAGAATGTCCCCAACTGTACCCGGCCGTGGACTTGGCACCCCATGATTGGAATTCTTCTGCCCAGGAAAGAAATCGGCTTCTATTCTCTTCAGGGCTGGATGGACAGAGCTGTCCATGTCCTCATCTGTGACAACACAGACACAGAAATATATATTAAAGAGGAGAGGGAGGGAGGGAGGGAAGCGACGTTATTGTTCTTGTTATCTTCTATAACATCAGCAAAATAGAGAGATGACAGAGAGGGACAGACAGAGATGATTGATTACTATCTCTGTGCTGATCTGTAAAGTAAAGAGAGACTTTAAAAGAGACTGAAGAGACAGATATTGATTATAAAGGTCAGAGAAATCCATCACCTACATCCTCATGTGTAAAATGTTTTAATAGAGAGAGAGAGAGAGAGAGAGAGAGAGAGAGAGAGAGAGAGAGAGAGAGAGAGAGAGAGAGAGAGAGAGAGAGAGAGAGAGAGAGAGAGAGAGAGAAAGAAGAAACTACTTTCACCCATACGCTCACCTGTAATACAACAATGCAACAGGGTAGCGCTGAGAATAAACACACAAGATGAAGCAGCTACTTGGTAATATTCAGAAAGAGGGAACAAAATGAGAAACAGCAGTTACTTGTAATACAAAGCAGAAACAACATGAGATACAACAGTTAATTCTAACACTGACAAATAAGAAACAACATGAGACAACAGTTACTTCTAACACCGACAAAGAAGAAACAACATGAGACAACAGTTACTTGTAACACCGACATAGAAGAAACCACATGAGACAACAGTTACTTGTAACACCGACAAAGAAGAAACAACATGAGACAACAGTTACTTGTAACACCGACAAAGAAGAAACCACATGAGACAACAGTTACTTGTAACACTGACAAAGAAGAAACAACATGAGACAACAGTTACTTGTAACACCGACAAAGAAGAAACAACACGTGGTCTAGATTACCCAAAGAAGGCCCTCAATGACAACTAAAGTGGTCTAGATTACCTAAAGTCAGGCCCTTGCTGAGACCACTAAAGTGGTCTAGATTACCTATAGTCAGGCCCTTATTGAGTGATTCTTTATTCTACAGCCTTATTATGGTCAAGATGATTACTGAAAGTCAGGCCCTCGCTGAGACCACTAAATGGGTCTAGATTAGCTGCTAAAGTCAGGCCCTTAATGAGACAACTAAAGTGGTCCAGATTACCAAAAGTCAGGCCCCCGCTGAGTGATTCTCCTACAGCCTTACCATGGTCAAGATGATTACTAAAGGTCAGGCCCTCGCTGAGACCACTAAAGTGGGCTAGATTACTGAGGTTAAACATGGATTCCTGGGTGATTCTCTGATCCAGCTCTTTCTTCAGGTTGTGTTTCTGCTCCCTTTCCTGTGCCAGTGAGCTCAGGGCTTCCTCCAACTTCCTCTCCACGATGGCCTTGAGACCAGCAAGCTCATCCAGTTGCATGTGGAGGTCTTCCAGCTCCCCCTGTAGCCTTAGAGTTTCATGTTTGCTGGACTCAAACTCAACCTGGTTCTGTTTCAGTTGTGAGACCTGCAACAGACATCAAACATCAGTGGATCAATGTTATTCATTACCTACAATATCATTTAACATCTACGATGCATCTTACATCTACAATATCATTTAACATCTATGATATAATCTTACATCTACAATTATCATTCAACATCTATGATATCTTACATCTACAATACAATTTAACATCTATGATACCATCTAACATCTACCTAAGACATAATTTTGCTACATCATCTAGGATACACAATCTGTGGTCTAGACTATACAATCTGTGTTCTAGATTATACAATCTGTGGTCTAGATTATACAATCTGTGGTCTAGACTATACAATATGTGTCTATATACAATCTGTGGTCTAGATTATACAATTTGTGGTCTAGATTATACAATCTGCTATAAAAGAAAAGTTCCATATGCAATTTGGTCTGGCTGACCTCTCTCTAGATGGCTAAACCATATCAGTTTTTCAATCCGTGGTCTAGATTAATACAATCTGTGGTTTAAACTATGATCTTTTGTCCAGACTACAATATGTGGTCTAGACTATACAATATGTGGTTTAGACTATACAATATGTGGTCTAGATTATACAATATGTGGTCTAGACTAGACAATCTGTGGTCTGGACTATACAATATGTGGTCTAGACTATACAATATGTGGTCTGGACTATACAATATGTGGTCTGGACTATACAATATGTGGTCTAGACTAGACAATCTGTGGTCTGGACTATACAATCTGTGGTCTAGACTATACAATCTGTGGTCTAGACTATACGATTTGTGGTCTAGAAGACACAAGAATGCTACCATGAGACAGCTAAACAAGAAATTCTGAAGACAAGAACAATGTGGAGAAGAATGCAGGAACATCAAGCTAGACAAACCTGTTTCTGAAGTGAGATGTTTTCTTCCTCAAGCTCGGCATAGTCTGTGAGATTCCTGTTTTCTCTAACCTTGTACTCTCGAAGTTCATGGCGGAATTGTTGTCGCTGGGCTTCCAGAGTCTCAATCTGCAATGCCAGACATGCATAATCATGTTTTTATGACTCACTGTGTTATTGCTCATGTTTTCATGACTCACTGTGTTATTGCTTACGTTTTTATGACTTACTGTGTTACTGCTCATGTTTTCATGACTTACTGTGTTACTGTTCATGTTTTCATGGCTCAATGTGTTATTGTTCATGTTTTCATGATTCACTGTGTTACTGCTCATGTTTTCATGACTTACTGTGTTATTGTTCATGTTTTCATGGCTCAATGTGTTATTGTTCATGTTTCCATGATTCACTGTGTTATTGCTCATGTTTTCATGACTCACTGTGTTATTGCTCATGTTTTCATGACTTACTGTGTTATTGCTCATGTTTTCATGACTCACTGTGTTATTGCTCATGTTTTCATGACTTACTGTGTTATTGCTCATGTTTTCATGACTCACTGTGTTATTGCTCATGTTTTCATGACTCACTGTGTTATTGCTCATGTTTTCATGACTCACTGTGTTATTGCTCATGTTTTCATGACTCACTGTGTTATTGCTCATGTTTTCATGACTCACTGTGTTATTGCTCATGTTTTCATGACTTACTGTGTTATTGCACATGTTTTCACAACCTACTGTGTTAGTGTTTATTTGTTTATGACCTAATGTTCAAGTGTTTTCATGACGAACTATGTTTCTGTTCCAGTGTTTTCACGATTTGTGTTACTGTTCATGTTTTAACGATATACCGTGTTCAAGTGTTTTCATGACACACTGTGTCACTGCTCAAGTGGTCCTGACCTGTCAGCTGAGAAACAATAATGTGACTGACACACATTTGTGCCACCCAGTTACTGCTGCAGCAGCTGTGTAATTCAAATGTTTTCAATGTCTACATTAAGTGCATCACAGAGAGTCTCCCTCAGAATACTAAAACACAACAATGAGAGAAAATCTTACCTGTTCTATCAAAACATGTGAATAAGAGAAAATCTTACCTGTTCTATCAAAACATGTGAATAAGAGAAAATCGTACCTGTTCTATCAAAACATGTGAATGAGAGAAAATCTAACCTGTTTTATAAAACATGTCAATGAGAGAAAATCTAACCTGTTCTATCAAAACATGCAAATGAGAGAAAATCTAACCTGTTCTATCAAAACATGTGAATGAGAGAAAATCTAACATGTTCTATCAAAACATGTCAATGAGAGAAAATCTAACCACCTGATCTATATAAACATGTGAATGAGAGAAAATCTAACCTGTTCTAGCAAAACATGTCAATGAGAGAAATTCTAACCCGCTATATCAAAACCAGTGAACAAGAAAAAAAAATCTCACCTATGATGAGTGATGCCGATTGTTGTAAGAGATACATGATGCTTAACCAACAAGCGGCTGGTTGAAATGGCAGCTATGGTCAAACAATGTATGTGGACATAGAGAAGCCTGGGCGGACATGCCTAGGTATGTGGAGTATGTGGACACAAAGAAGCCAGACTAGAAATACCTAGGTATAAGGACACAGAGAAGCCTGACTGGACATGCCTAGGTATGTAAACACAGAGAAGCCAGACTGGAAATGCCTAGGTATGCGGAAACAGAGAAGCCTGAGTGGGCATGCCTAAGTATGTGGACACAGAGAAGCCTGAGTGGATATGCCTAGGTATGAAGACATAGAGAAGCTAGACTGGAAATGCCTAGGTATGTGGACACAGAGAAGCCTGACTGGACATGCCTAGGTATGTGGACACAGAGAAGCCAGACTGGAAATGCCTAGGTATGTGGACACAGAGAAGTCTGACTGGGCATGCCTAGGTATGTGGACACAGAGAAGTCTGACTGGGCATGCCTAGGTATGTGGAAACAGAGAAGTCTGACTGGGCATGCCTAGGTATGTGGACACAAAGTCTGACTGGGCATGCCTAGGTATGTGGACACAGAGAAGTCTGACTGGGCATGCCTAGGTATGTGGAAACAGAGAAGCCTGAGTGGGCATGCCTAAGTAGGTGGACACAGAGAAGCCTGAGTGGACATGCCTAAGTATGCGGAAACAGAGAAGCCTGAGTGGACATGCCTAAGTATGCGGAAACAGAGAAGCCTGAGTGGGCATGCCTAAGTATGTGGACACAGAGAAGCCTGAGTGGACATGCCTAGGTATGTGAACACAGAGAAGCCAGACTGGACATGCCTAGGTATGTGGACACAGAGAAGCCTGAGTGGACATGCCTAGGTATGTGGACACAGAGAAGCCAGACTGGACATGCCTAGGTATGTGGACACAGAGAAGCCAGACTGGACATGCCTAGGTATGTGGACACAGAGAAGCCAGACTGGACATGCCTAGGTATGTGGACACAGAGAAGCCTGAGTGGACATGCCTAGGTATGTGGACACACAGAAGCCTGAGTGGACATCTGGTAATCTTAGTTTCAGCTTCATAACAAATGGGTCACCCCATAGTTGCTCTGCTCCTGTGCCAACGAAAAACACACAGAATGTTTATCACAGTCCCTTGTGGAAAGATTGACAGATTGCTGTTTCAGCATATGCACTAGCATAGACACGCATTAAAAGCATACGGTAGCCATCTGAAGTGCTAACACAAACAGTCTGACATTAGAAATGCAGTTCATCATGGATGGTAGCACTAGCGACTAGAAGAAATCACCAACAGTACACACGATCAATTTTAATCACATAATGGCACCACCAATATTGCGACAACCGGCATCGCGCCATTTTCTGAATCTACAATTCCCACCACAACGTTGGTCACAGTTGAAAAAAATTGCAAATGAAATCTGCAGCTCACATTGTCACGCCATGCACTCAACTCAGAAGCTTGGCAACGAAACTATATCCTTCTAGTCTACAAATGGAGCAAAAATGCAACGGCTATCGTCTGGCAGAAGCAAAAAAAATTTCCCGCGGCTCAAAACAGTGGCCGTGCCTAGCGTCCATTTTGTCCTGAAGCATTATGTGAGGGTTAATAAACGGCCACCCGAGAAGTACCCTCACTATTCACTGGGGAAGGGACTTGGGACATTACATCCACCAGCAAGCGCCGCCCCTACAACGACCTGACTGCCTTTGTTAACGACTGTTCATCCAAAACAGCCATGCAGTTTTTTTTGGCACGAAGGAGATACCTTGAACTTAGGTTTCGGACTGCCGACTCCCTACAAGAAGATATATGCGTGCTACTGGTGTCCCGTAGCCAAATACCATCGCACTGTATAACTAAAATTCAGCATGCATACTCAAACGCGCAGTGGTTAAAAAAAAAAGAAAAACTGAGTGGAAATGCAGAAGCCTGAGTAGACATGCCTAGGTATGTGGACACACAGAAGCCTGAGTAGACATGTCTAGGTATGTGGACACACAGAAGCCTGAGTGGACATGCCTAGATATGTGAACACAGAAGCCTGAGTGGACATGCCTAGAAATGTGGACACAGAAGCCTGAGTGGACATGTCTAGATATGTGGACATAGAGAAGCTTGAATGGATATGCCTAGGTATAAGGTCACAGAGAAGCCTGAGTGGACATGCCTGGGTAAAAGGTCACAGAGAAGCCTGAATGGACATGTCTAGGTATGCAGACAGAGAAGCCTGAGTGGACATGCTCAAGTACCTGATGGTTGAGCTCTAAAAGTTCCGACGTCAAACGTTCATTCTCACTCGCAACTCTGAGATAGTTGGCGCGTGCTGCCTTCAAATCCTGCCCAAGATCACTGATTGATGACTGGTAGTTCTCTTCTCTCTGGGCCGTCTCCTCCAGAAGTTTCTCCTCCTGATCAACTCCACTTTCATGATGCTTCTTTAGTGTGCTCTGATGTCTGTTGAGTGCCTGGGGATGATATGTGTCTTGTATTACAGGCCTGGGTAAACTATTGACTTTCACACTGACATATACACATAAACCTCTTCCACATATGCCATAGGTTACAAGAGTAAGTGAACTGCTGACTCTCACACACACACAACAAACACACTTCTACATACATGTTTGTAACTAAGACATGAGTACACACACTGTTTGTAACTAAGACAGGAAGGAGAACAATGAGTACAGTGTTTGCAACTAAGACAGGAGTACAAACAATGTTTTTAACTAAGACACAAGTACAATGTATGGAGCTGCTGACAGACAGCAGCAAATAAAGGGACAAATAGAAATATGTCTAACCACCCACATGGACTAAGCAACCGTAAGTAGAAGCCAGGACAGGACAAGAATGAGCCATGCATGACTACCAAGCTCTAATTGTTTGTAGCCCAGCCCACTCTGAAATCTGGCAACTGGGCCACATTCCACAGGCATAGGTACAGGTTCTCTTACTGGGCCACACTTCACAGGTGTAAGTTCAACCAAGCAGCCCATATACCTGACAAATTGGGTCTGTGTGTGCGTGTGCTCTAGTCACACAGACACAATGTATCCAGGTATGTGAGTTGCCATGGTGACGTGTGACACTTATTGACACAACTGCAGGCTCAAGCACTGAAGCTGTGTGTGGCTTCCTTCTCAGATCTCCTTGCCAGTGTTTGCTCTCTTCACCACAAAGCCAGCAGACACTAGGGCACCACCCACCTAGCTGTTAGTCAGCCTCACACAAGAATCATAAACTAGTTCATTATCACCACCAATACACCACCCACTTCTCCAGCCAAGCGAATCATACGCACAAGGAAAACAGGTTAGCTGCTGTGGCCAGGAAGAGAACCCCTCTCAACAACTTGTTATCAATGTGGCATTAAGAGGTCACTACAGAGTAATACAACATTGACCCACAACAACCGATTGTGCTTGACATTTGTTAAAATCTGACATGGGCAGTCTGACACCCCTGCTCCACACATGCATAATCTGGAATAATCTGAGAATCCCATACAGGACGACAATCCCAAAAAGGGCATCTGATACAATCTGACAACCATACACAGGACATCTGGCACAATCTGACAACCACACACAGGTCACCTGGTACAATCTGACAACCACACACACAACATCTGGTACAATCTGACAACCATATACAGGACATCTGATACAATCTGACAACCACACACACAACATCTGGTACAATCTGAAAACCATATACAGGACATCTGGTACAATCTGACAACCACACTCACAATATCTGGTACAATCTGACATCTGTATAACAGTAGAACCTTGCTTAACGAGCACCCCTCATAACGAGTATTTCACATAACGAGCAAAACAAATTGTAAAAGAATGACTTGCTTAACGAGCGACGTTTCGCATAACGAGTGGCGAGGAGAGGGTAAGTCCCGGATTGTGCGCATGTTACATCAGTCTGTGTTTAGCACTCATTTCAGTAGCATCGTAGTGTCGCTTGTGATCACATATTTTCCTAAACTTGGGTTATATTGTGATACATGTACATGAATCCTCCAGGCCTACTCTTTGACCTCACTGAAGAGTTTAAGTTCATCAAGATCCAGTTTCTGTCTCCCAACACCACTACATTACTCCAGCCCATGGACCAGCAAGTTTCTAACTTTAGGAAGCTCTACACTAAAGCAATCTTCGAGCATTGTTTTCAGGTGACTGAAGGGACCAACCTCACTCTCAAAGAGTTTTGGAAAAATCACTTCCACATCGTTGCCTGCCTCAAGATGATCGACGAGGCGGGGACTGGGGTTAACAAGAGAACACTAACTTCTGCATGGAAGAAGCCTTGGCCGAAGAGCGTTGTCGATTTGTGACTTTGAGGGGTTCGAGACAGTACATGTGGAACCTGTAGTCAACAAGATTGTGTCTATGGCCACTATCATGAAATTGTAGTTGGATAACAGTGATATCGAAGAGCTTGTCAAAAAGCACAGCCAAGAGTAGACCACCGAAGAGCTTATGGAGTTGCACTGTGTTTCACATCAAGAAGTTTTAGAGGAAAGTTTTGTCAGAGAAGGAGGAGGAGGAGTTAACAGAAAAGCAAAAATCTTCTGGATAAATTAGTGAAATGCTGAAAGCATGGAAAACTGTTGCATCTTACACTGAGAAGCATCACCCTAATACGGAAGTGGCTATGTGTACTGCAAATTTATTTAATGATAACACTGTGTTGCATTTTCACCAAATTTTGAAGCGTCGGCAAAAACAAATGCCTCTGGACATCTCTTTCTAGTAAAAAAAATAATTAGCTATGTGTCATAATTATTTCGACTTTTTTTTCCTTCTGCAAATCGAATTTGCATTCCAGGTGTGTTTGTTCTGTGTTTGAAAAAAAGATGAAGATGATTCACTCTTCTTAACAATATGTATACAATTTTCTTTGAATAAATGTTATTCATAGCATTTTGTGAGTATTTTTTTCAACACGGAACGCATTATCTTATTTTACATTAATTTATATGAGAAAAATTGTTTCGCATTTTGGGTGTTTCGCTTAACGAGTATGATTCTGGAACGAATTATGCTTGTCAAGCGAGTTTCCATTGTATAGGATATCTGGTACAATTTGAAAACCACACACACAACATATGGTACAATCTGACAACCACACACACAACATCTGGTACAATCTAAAAACCACACACACAACATCTGGTACAATCTGACAACCACACATACAACATCTGGTACAATCTGACAACCATATACAGGACATCTAGTGGTGCAATCTGAAAACCACACACAGGGCATCTGGTACAATCTGACACCCACACATGAGACATCTGTTGTAACCCAACGCCTAAAGCCTATATACTGGCAATACGTGCATTATGTGCTCATTTACGGGGAAATGGGAGGACCATGCAGACATGTACCGTTAAGGAATGTTGTACCAAAAGTAGCTGTTTATGCCAGAAATAAAGTGCAGATGGAGACACAAGTAAAAATCTGGACACACAAATTCCCATTTATTCAGGGTTTTGATGAAATATTTTTACAGGAACACCGTATGCTACAGTTTTGTAGTTAACCTATTTGTACGTACAAAATGCAGAAAAACTATTTCAACTGTATGTAACTGAAAAAGGTGTTTACATGCTGAATGGTCTAGATTTATTGCCTGGGACTGAATCCTATCTGATGTTGATCTATCAGCATGGCTGTCTGCCAGCATCACACAATGTTTGAACTCTGGAGACCCAGTGGGGACCCCCCATGCAGCTCAGAAACAACTGCATTTGGAAACGTTTGAGACTGAAACCGTTATCTGTAGAGTGAGAGGTCAATGAAGTACAATTTAAACCAGGGAGTGCTCTCAGAAATAAACATAAAGATCTTCCTCAAAAAAGAGATGATCTGAGTTCATCTGAGCAAAGATTCGACAACATAGTATTCAAGAAAAGTCAATATCAGTGCTCTCTTCCTTCTTAACAGTGAGCAAAGAGTCTCCATACTGATGGTACTCAGTATCATCTGGTTAACTGCTTGTCTTGCCTTTCCTTCAAGTCTCGAGTGGCACCCAGAACGCACAGACACTCACCACCGCATCATTCTCTCCAGGCACGGATTTTAAAATATCTTCTATTTTACTGTTAACCTCGTCACCCAGATGAGAGATCACCTCTGCCCTGTGCAGTTGCAGTAGACCAGCAAGTGGGGTCAGTTTAGCCAATCTATCTGCATACCCATTCCCAAACACATAGCCCAGGCAAACTATTCATGTCAACACTGTTGTGTGCCATCAGAAAACAAACATGGTTATAAATACATGCTAATGCACTTTCACCCTGTGTGGAACTTTGAAAAGTTTGTGATATGGAGCTAGTCATACTGTTGATCAAAGAGCTGTAAGTGGACATTTTCTAGTCTAGACAGGAGCGGGGAAAAGGGTGGGCCAGGGGTGTGTGCAAAATAAAGTGTGTGCACCTTACTACTACTACGACTAACCTGCCACTGTGACTCTGTAGTAGTCTTTTAGGCTCGTAACCAAGGATCATTATTTATTTTAATATCTTTAGTGAATTATCCGTTTATAGCAATTACTGAAATAACTTTCCTAAACTCCAGCTATAACTAACTATGCTATATTAGTAATTACCCTAGTAGTATTTATAGAGATAACGATCTCCAATGTAAACAAAGTCAAAACGAAAGTTGCGCAGTTTGGTGCGCAGAGGGATCGGCGGACTCGTGAAAATGTTTTGTTTCATAACGAATTATAAATTAATTTTTTTGATTGCGATTCTAGCAGTTCAGAATTGATGACATGCGCTCTTCGTCATTCAAAAGAGGGTACTCTATCAAACGACGCCTAAATTGAATAGCGGTCTTTATTGAGCGTAATAAATTTCACTATTTGTCATATGCCAAGTAAATTTCTTTAATATCTCCTTTTTAAAGTGAACTTAAATACTATTAAATGACATTTTTAGATTCTGTGTCCATTTTTACGTAAGGATGGGCAGTTTTGCTGGAATCTGTACTTCATAAGATATACAGTTTCAATTTCTTCCCAGTCACTTCTTAGAGCTAAATCGGAGATTTCTCAAAATGGCTACCGCGTGGCCTAAACGAACTGTTTATCTCAGATTAATTAATCAAGTTATTTATAAAAACAGTTCAAAAATAATGCAAGTTTTATTTGTATTAATAATTTACCTTTCTTTAACTTCAATTTCACATGAGTTTTAATAAATTTAAATACCTGAAAATGATGTTTTAGCACGTTTTTAACATGGACTATTTCTAGGGTATTTTTGCGTTGAAAATGGACACAGGCAGTGGTTTAAACATTTTATATTAATAGTTTTAAATCAAATTAAAGTAGTTATTAAATCATTTTTTGAATCTTTAGCCATTATAGCATTTTTTAAGCCATAACCTATCATTTGGCATGAATCATAGTTCCTGTTTGAAGCCTTTTTGCCTGTTGACCCCCACTCCCCGCACCCAGACTGACATTTTGGACGCAGACAGTGGTTTCAATATTTTTTATTATACTTTTAAATGAACATAAAGTAGTTATTTAATCATTTTTTGAATCTTTAGCCATTATAGCATTTTTTAAGCCATAACCTATCATTTGGCATGAATCATAGTTCCTGTTTGAAGCCTTTTTACCTGTTGACCCCCACTCCCCGCACCCAGACTGACATTTAAAAAAAATGTCTGCCACACATTTCTGCACTATGATTTTGTGGTGCATATTTATTGTCTTAAATAGTATAAATAACAGTTATTATTTATGATTGATACTGTTTTAAAATTGAAGTATTGACTTATAGATGATGATTTAGAAAGTTGATTAATAAAATTAATAATAATATATTATATTATTTTCAAGTGAATAAATTCACTTACTTACAACTTATGATTAATAATATTTAATCACAGATCACGTAGGACATAGATAAGTTAATAAAATATAATGTAATTTTTCCTCTTACCTTATGAAATGCTGCTCCATGAAAACACAACATAAATCCAAAGCGAATTACATCTCCATGAAAACACAACATAAATCCAAAGCAAATTACAAAGGAGCTTATTTAATAATTTTACTCCATGAAAAACATAGCACTGAGTCACAAATCGGGCATGAGCGGTTACCTTCGATTATTTTGAACAAGTAAATAAAATATCAAGCAGTGACTAGTTAAGAAGAAGAGGGGAACAATGTGGTGAATTGTCTCATCATCAATAAAATGAAAGAATAACTCGCAAAGATTGAAAAAGGGATTATGTTAAATCAGTAAGAGGGGCGCTCATTTTCACTTGGTTATAAAACAATATAGGAATATAGGGGTCTCCGTATCAAAGTGGTCAAGCCGTTAACCTCGCGCTCGGAAGATTGTTGTACGTTCATTTACAACTGCATTGTTCGACTCGAAAATGCATTTTTTTGGTTAGCTGAGACCTCTGAGGGCTGTTGCTGGAGCTACGGTATCCAGGCTTTGTGCTAAGCTCTCGGCATGCGTTATTTGTTCAGTATTGTGGAGAAAGACAAAGCCATATAAAATCAGTAACGATGCAATGAAGTCAATCCACTCGCTATTAAATATTTTTTAAACAGTGGAATAAAGCAAATTTCGGTCAGATGTATGCACACACACAAACATACACACAAATGAGAGTGCGAGAAAAACCATTTTTCAACAAATAGAAAAAGATGCATCATAACAGGAAGAATAGATATAAAACTATATATATATATATTACAGTATAAGTCTTGCAAGACTCACTGGATAATTAATAATAATTAATTCATAAGGTATTTAATGAATACTGATAAATTTACTCATTTTTATGTTATTTAGGTTTGCATCACATCATATTTTTAAAAAGGCAACAACTTTAGTTAGAGCTTGCTGTCCTGAAAGCAATGACATATGGTTGCTAAGGGGTTCAGCAAAAAACTTGAGAGTTATTGACATTAAACATGATAAATTTAGGTCCAGTTTTCACTTGGGAACACGCCGCCATCTTGTTTCTGTGTTTTCCATTATAATTTTTTGAGGGCACTTTCCGTCACTGAAATGGCAATATCTCCGCTTAGAATTGACATACAGACTTCATTGAGGTACCGTTGGACTCAGTTTTTCAACCTCTATTCAGCTGTCTTGGTTTGAAAGTAAAAAACCTAAAATAAAAATTTTGACTAAAATCCCTAGTATTTATTACTTCTACTTATGTAGCAGACGGTACTTCCACAAACCACACAACCATCGGCAATGACAGCCGCAGTCGGAGTTATGTGGTGATAAAGATGTACGTGAATAGTGATGGTAAAAGTGATAATAATTTTTCAGTATGTAAGAAAGTTTCATAATATTATTAATGACGTGATATGGGGTATCTGTCGGAAGCGGAATCACCCATCCCTGACGTCGCAAGAGTTCAATAATTAAATCGTGAAGTTAATGTAGAAAATGAAGCAGGAAGTCCGTGGAATGACACCTACCTCTTTGGCACAGTCAAGTTCTGTCCGTGTGGCTTCAAGCTGAGCCTCCAGCTCCTCGAACTGTTGCTGCAACTGTTGCTTCTCCTCCAGAACCACCAGACCGTACTCGGCCGCCTGCAGTTTTTCTTTGGTCGTTTCGTTAAGTTCTTTAGAGAGTCTGTCGATCTCGGACTGGAAATCCCTGAATGTTTCAAGTGTAGAAGTCATGTCGCCGGCTGTGTGTGGATGTTAGACTAGGATAAAAACCAGTACTAGCGGCGCAGAAAATGGCCAGTGTTCCATTTCGTCGTCCTCTAACAGCGCCGCGGGTCGGCCATGTTTTGTCTGCCGTCTGCTTGTGTGCTAATGTAGTCGTCACATGACCGCTGCCAATTCCGGTGTCAGGGAGGCATTGGAGGAAGAGAGAGAGAGAGAGAGAGAGAGAGAGAGAGAGAGAGAGAGAGAGGTGGAATGAGGTGGTGTCAGAGAGGCAGTGGAGGAAGGGACAGGGAGAGAGAGAGAGACGGAACGAAAGAGGAGTGAGGAAAATAGGGATAGATGAAGAGATTGAGGCAGTGAGACCTAAGCTAACGAGAGTGGGGGAGGTAGGGATGCAAGAGGCAAAGACTGTGGAGCAAATGAGCGGGGATGGTTAGGGAAAAAACACACACACGCACTGCCAGTTACTTCCTTTATTATACCCTTTTTTGCGGTGTAGGCAAAAAAAAGGGGGGGGGGTGGTCTTTAATCCTGAGGATTTACGGCCGCTAGGCTAGTGCTGTCGCCACGACTGTGCTGGTGAGGTTTTGTTTTTATTTGCAGACAGCAGCACCATTCAATAAACGTTCATCGCCCCCGTTATCAAATCAGCGTAGACAATAGGCTATCATTTCCCTCCGGTTACAAAGCTTACCTAACAGCAAACACTCCAGCTGTGGCGTCATTATAAAATCAGCGTAGACAATAGGCTATCGTTTCCCTCAGGTTACAAAGCTCACCTCACAGCAAACACTCAGCTGCGTCGTCGTTGTGTGAGGCTAAACTGTTGTGCATAGTATAAGATCAGTCAGTTGGGGAAACCTCCAGGTCCTTTCAGATATATATATATATATATATATATATATATATATATATAATATATATATATATTTTATATATATATATATATATATGTATATATATATATATATATATATATATATATATATATATATATATTATATATATATATATATATATATATATATATATATATATATATATATATATATCTACCTCTGCCGCCCTCTTCTTGTCTTGCCTACTTGTGGGTTTTCTCCACCTCTTACTTGAGACACCTGCTTGTCATCTAACGACTCTTGACCTAAGACAGGAACATCAAGCATGTCATCTGAAGAGATCTGACCTAAGACAGGGACAGCAAGCATGTAATTTGAAGGCATTTGACCTAAGATAAGGACAGCAAGCATGTCATTTGAATACATTTGACCTAAGACAAGGACAGCAAGCATTTCATTTGAAGACATTTGACCTAAGACAGGGACAGCAAGAATGTCATTTGAAGGCATCTAAACTAAGACAGGGACAGCAAGAATGTCATTTGAAGGCATCTAAACTAAGACAGGGACAGCAAGAATGTCATTTAAAGATATCTGACCTAAGACAAGGACAGCAAGAATGTCATTTTAAGGCATCTGAACTAAGACAGGGACAGCAAGCATGTCATCTGAAGAGATCTGACCTTAGACAGGAACAGCAAGCATGTCATCTGAAGAGATCTGACCTTAGACAGGAACAGCAAGCATGTCATCTGAAGAGATCTGACCTTAGGGACAGCAAGCATGTCATCTGAAGAGATCTGACCTTAGGGACAGCAAGCATGTCATTTAAAGACATTTGACCTAAGACAAGGACAGCAAGTTATTTAAAGACATTTGACCTAAGACAAGGACAGCAAGCTATTTAAAGACATTTGACCTAAGACAAAGGTATTTAGTATGTCATCAGTCAGCAACCTGTGATTTCAGATCTATAATTTTGAATTCTGGGTTTATGACATGAGATCTCACATTCTGGGTTGATGACCCATAGTTGAGTCATGTGACCTCAGCCCAGTATAAGTAGACTTCATTTGATCTATGATTTTAGACTTGTCACCCCATTCTTGAAATCAGATTTCAATAATTGACCTTGAATTTAAGATTTCCTGCCTGTGGCTTTTGGATTAGAACTATTTGGTCTGATTTTTGTTTGCTCAGATTGCTGGCTGAGGACCTGGAGCAGGTGACTCCGCAGTCAGACCCCAGTCCTGTCATCTTAGTTAACTGATCTCTAACCTGATCCTGCAGTCAGACCCCAGTCCTGTCATCTTAGTCAACTGATCTCTAACCTGACCCTGCAGTCAGACCCCAGCCCTGTCATCTTAGTCAACTGATCTCTAACCTGATCCTGCAGTCAGACCCCAGTCCTGTCATCTTAGTCAACTGATCTCTAACCTGACCCTGCAGTCAGACCCCAGACCTGTCATCTTAGTCAACTGACCTTTAACCTGACCCTGCAGTCAGACCCAGTCGTTATCTCAGTCATTTGACCTCAAACACAACCATGCAGTTAGACCACAGTCCTTGTAATCTCAGTCGCTTGACCTCACACCTGACCTTGCAGTCAGACCCCAGCTCTGTTATCTCAGTCACTTGACTTTACATGTGACCCTGAACAGTCAGACTTGTGTAAGGTCATAATCACACCAAGCCGGGAATGCAGAGACTGGCCAGAAGGTGCCACAGAGGTGAAAATTCAGCAGTTAATTCAAGATAATGCTCGCTCAGAGGATTTGATCATTTACACAGACGGTTAGGTGTCAAGAGGCAAAAGAAGTGCTTGGGGTTTCTTAGCAAAAGTTAATGGTTGACATTTGGTAAAGGAGAGCCTAGCATATGATACCACAACATCCAGCTTAAGAATGCAGGTGGAGGCGATCACCACAGTTTTCTGCTGGTTAGAGAAAACGAACCACACATTGACACACACATCATGATTGTAACTGACTCAGAAAGCATGCTGAGGAAGATCAGGACAGGCATGCTTCGTGCAGAGTGGCATGCTTTACTGGGGAGCACATGGGTGAGTAGTATTGTTTGGATTTTTTATTATCGAGATACGCCGGTGTGTTGCGAAATGAACAGGGGACAGACTGGCTGGTTCTGCCCAACTTGGTGGAATACTAATACACGAGAAGGCAGACATGGTTAGTGCCTTGTGGGAGTAAACAGAATGCTACTGGCACCATTATTATTGGAACTCTTCACTGGCTGCTGAAGATGGGGACGGAGCGCTTATAGGAATGCCCCAAGTGCTGTGATGTCAGTTCTTGAATCAATTCACTCAACTCAACATGTGACCCTGCAGTCAGACCCAAGTCCTATCATCTCAGTCACTTAACCTCACACTTGTGATCACAGGCACTATTAGCTAACTATAACACAGTGTCCAGTTTTAATTTTAAAAGACCAACATCACTCTAACAAACTTATACCCACGAATAGACATAATCCTTACCTTTCACCCATACATCACATAGAGCTTTACCCACATATAAGCATCACTCACAGCTTTTACCAACACACAGCTTTTACCTACACACAGCTTTTACCAACTCACAGACATAAAAAATACCCTGCACCCATAAACAGACATCAAACACGCCTTCTATCCAAACACAGATATTACATATTGCTTGTAGATACACACAGACTTTGCACACACACCTTGTACCTGGGGGGGGGGGGGGCTGCGGTCTTGAGACATGGCATCCACCTTGAGTGCTGGAGGTCCCGGGTTCAAGCCCCAGTGAAAGCTGGAATTTTCTACGTGGACTTCTAGTAATTTTCCCTGGGTAGTAAAATCAGATGCCTGTGTGTATTGTTGTGCACATAAAGAATCCCTTAGCAGCTGGACATAAAAAAGAGTAGTCTAACGGCTCTGCCTGGGCAAAATTCAGATTAAAAAATCTACCTAAACTATTTCACAATCCTTGCCGGTGCTACGGAGTTTGTGCACTGGGCTGAGATTCTTCGGACTCAGGCTTGAGACAGAAGTAGAACAGAGCACTTATGGGTTACTACCCTTGTGCCATGATGTTGATCCATCATCTAAACCTAAACCAAACCTTGTATCCACACAGACATTACATATAGCCTGTAGACACACACAGACACCTTGTACCCATACAGATATAACATAGAGCTTGTAGACACACACACACCCTGTACCAACACATATATTACATACAGCTTGTAGACACACACACAGATACCTTGTACCCACACAGATACTATATGTAACTCGTAGACACACAGACACCTTGTACCCACACACATATTACACATAGCTTGTACCCACACATATATTACATATAGCTTGTAGACACACACAGACACCTTGTACCCACACAGATATTACATATAGCCTGTTGACACACACAGAAACCTTGTACCCTTTCAGATATTGCATATAGCTTGTAGACACACACAGACACCTTGTACCCACACATATATTACATATAGCTTGTGGATACACACACACCTTGTACCCACACAGATATTACATACATCTTGTAGATACACACACACACCTTGCACCCACACAGATGTTACAAACAGCTTGTAGACACACACAGACACCTTGTACCTACACAGATATTACATACAGCTTGTAGATACACAGACACCTTGTACCCACACAGATACCTTGTACCCACACATATATTACATATAGTTTGTAGATACACACACCTTGTAGCCACACGTATATTACATACATCTTGTAGATTCACATACACACACATTGTACCCACACAGATGTTACAAACATATACATACACATTTTGTACCCACACAGATATTACATATAGCTTGTAGATACACATATATCAGGAGTCGGGTGGCGTAGCGGCTAGACGCATCTGCTCACCACATCACCCATCTTGTGCCAACTGGTCTAAAAAAAATATAGCTAGCCCTATATGCCCTATACACCTAAAGGCGTGGAAAAGGTACCTTTACATTTTACTTATCCAGATACCTTGTACCCAAACAGATATTTCATTTAGCTTGTAGATACATAGACTTCACAAACACATTTTGTACCCACACAGAGACACCAAGCATAAACACTCAAGTTTTAGACCCATTTGTGTGGATGATCACCCCTGTCCATCCTACTATCTGCACTAGCATGTACCAGTTTGTGCCCTGACCTGTTCCCATGCAATGACCCATGACTGTCAACTTTATACTCTTTTTTTCCTCTTCCCTGATAACTCTCCTGCTGTCACAATATACTCAGTTTCTCATAATCTGGACAAAATTAACCACTGCTTGCTGTTGTTGTTTCTCTTCAGTTCTATGTCAAAACAATGATGTTACTCATTTTAGCTGTTCATGGAATTGTAAACATTCTAATGCAGAATCACATTTAAAACCGAAAGTAACTTTTGGTTTCCTCAGAATTCATAGCTGTTTACTGCAAGTCATTCCAAGTAATACTGAAGACTTCATTTTCAAGGAATTAACGATATAGCAGATCCTGAAGTGTGTGCTCTGTTGAATGGGGTCTTAGTCCACGCCAGCTCATGGCTGTTTTGTGAATATCAAGTTGTATGCCTTAGCTGCTGCATGTCTGCAGGCTCTTTTACCGTTCACTGTTGCTTTCTGATAGATTTCTCTCATTCACACTGCATATCTTCTTCAAAGTCTGGTTTGCACGTTTTGTTGTTAAAAGCTAGGATATAATATCTGTGCCGCTCAGCCAAAAACATTCAATTTCAACAAACCCTTAATTAGTTAGACATGCTTGTGAAGGAACAGTTGGGTTATTTAAACACCCTTCTCGCTCCCTTCAACATTACAGGAAGAACTGACTTTAGTATTTAATATTCATGTTATTTTGCTGAAGACTGCTGTAAGTTTTATCCATTTCAGACTGTAGTTCCATGTAGGCTTGCACGTTTAATCTGTATTAGACTAGTTCCATGTAGGCTTGCATGTTTAATCTGTTTTTTAGACGTTCCATGTAGGCTTGAATGTTTGATCTGTTTCAGGCTGTAGTTCCATGTAGGCTTGCATGTTTGATCTGTTTTAGACTAGTTCCATATAGGCTTGTATGTTTGATCTGTTTCAGGCTGTAGTTTCTTGTAGGCTTGTATGTTTGATCTGTTTCAGGCTGTAGTTCCATGTAGGCTTGTGTGTTTGATCTGTTTCAGGCTGTAGATCCAGGCAGGCTTGTATGTTTGATTTGTTTCAGGCTGTAGTTCCATGTAGGCTTGAATGTTTTATCTGTTTCAGGCTGTAGTTCCATGTAGGCTTGTGTGTTTGATCTGTTTCAGGCTGTAGATCCAGGCAGGCTTGTATGTTTGATCTGTTTCAGGCTGTAGTTCCATGTAGGCTTGTATGTTTGATCTGTTTCAGGCTGTAGTTCCATGTAGGCTTGTATGTTTGATCTGTTTCAGGCTGTAGTTCCATGTAGACTTGTGTGTTTGATCTGTTTCAGACTGCTGTTTTGTGTGGACTTGTCTGTTTGATCTGTTTCAGGCTGTAGTTCCATGTAGGCTTGTGTGTTTGATCTGTTTCAGGATGTAGTTCCATGTAGGCTTGTATGTTTGATCTGTTTCAGGCTGTAGTTCCATGTAGACTTGTGTGTTTGATCTGTTTCAGACTGCTGTTTTGTGTGGACTTGTGTGTTTGATCTGTTTCAGACTGCTGTTTTGTGTGGACTTGTACGTTTGATTTGTTTCAGGCTGTAGTTCCATGTGGGCTTGTACGTTTGATTTGCTTGAGGCTGTTGTTCTGTACAGGCTTGTACGACTGAAGTTGAGCATAACTAAGCAGGAGCTTTTTCCAGTAACATGTGATATCCTCCATACGTAAATGTTCCATAATAAATCGTCTGCCCCTGAAACATAAGTAATGAAATATTAATGTAAGGCATATTAGATGCTCCCAACGGAGCAGATGGTGGCTGTGCAAACAGAACCCTAGCTGCCACTGTCTACATTTCAGGTGTCTATACTCAACCAATCAGATATCTACACACACTCAACCAATCAGATGTCTACACACACTCAACCAGCCATATGTCTACACACTCAACCAACCAGGTGTCTACATACTCAGTCAACCAGGTTTCTACACACACTCATCCAACCAGGTGTCTACACACTAAACCACTAAACCAATCAGGTGTATACACATACTCAACCAGTCATATGTCTACACACACTCAACTAACCAGATGTCTACACAATTAACCAATCAGGTGTCTACACATTTAATCAACCTGGCGTCTACACACACTTAACCAACCAGATGTCTACACACACACAACCAACCGGATGTCTACACAACTCAACCAACCAGGTGTCTACACACACTCAACCAACCAGGTGTCTATGCACACTACTCAACCAACCAGGTGTCTACACACACTCAACCAACCAGGTGTCTACACACACTCAACCAACCAGGTGTCTACACACTCAACCAACCAGGTGTCTACACACACTCAACCAACCAGGTGCCTACACACACTCAGTCAACCAAATGTCTACACACACACAAACAACAAGATGTCTACACACACACAACCAACCAGATGTCTACACACTCAACCTGTTATGTGTCTACACATACTCAACCAACCAGGTGTTTACACAACTCAACCAACAAGGTGTCTATGCATCAACCAACCAGGTGTCTATGCACACTACTCAACCAACTGTGTGTCTGCACCTTATTTATATTACCTATGCAACTCTACCAATTTACCAGCCACTGGGAAATTAATAAAAAGGGTAACTGCATATCCTATCCATGACAGTAAGTTGCAGAACCAACCCCATCATTTTCTGGCTGTTAAATTTTCCTATACAATTTGACATTCACTGGTGTGCCGTAGCAGAGCTTTCCTGACTGGCTGGCTGTCAATGAAATCAATGCAAAATGTTCTGCTGTCAAACTGCCTGAAATGCAATCTAACCAGGTATCTCAAGTACAAAGACTATTGTCCTCGCTTTCAGGCACAATAGGCATATAGGGCTAGACCAAATTTGTTTAGACCAAAACTGCACTCAGCGGGTGATGTGGTCAACATTATGCAGGCCGTCTTTTCTTCTCAGGACTTTATCTCGTACCCATTTAAGGCTGGAATCACTTCATCAACTAAATGCTAGACAATGGTAGAATCACTTCATGACAATGGTAGAATCACTTCATCAACTAAATGCTAGACAATGGTAGAATCACTTCATGACAATGATAGAATCACTTCATGACAATGGTAGAATCACTTCATGACAATGGTAGAATCACTTCATGACAATGGTAGAATCACTTCATGACAATGGTAGAATCCCTTCATGATAATGGTAGAATCACTTCATGACAATGGTAGAATCACTTCATGACAATGGTAGAATAACTTCATGACAATGGTAGAATCACTTCATGACAATTTTAGAATCCCTTCATGGTAATGGTAGAATCACTTCATGACAATGGTAGAATCACTTCATGAACTAAATGCTAGACATTGGTAGAATCACTTCATGACAATGGTAGAATCACTTCATGACAATGCTAGTCAATGGTAGAATAACTTCATCAACTAAATGCTAGACAATGGTAGAATCACTTCATCAACTAAATGCTAGACAATGGTAGAATCACTTCATCAACTAAATGCTAGACAATGGTAGAATCACTTCATGACAATGCTAGACAATGGTAGAATCACTTCATGACAATGCTAGACAATGGTAGAATCACTTCATGACTATGGTCGACAATGGTAGAATCACTTCATCAACTAAATGCTAGACAATGGTAGAATCACTTCATGACAATGGTAGAACCAACTGACCTTTCTGCTATTCCCTGAACAATTGCCTGGTTTTCCTTGGCAAACAAAATCAACTCTCTGAAAGATCAAACAGAAAACCCAACAATCAAAACATCACATCAATTGTAAGATCAGATAGCCCAATAATCAAAACATCACATAAATTTAAGATCAAACATACTGTCCACACATCAAAACACCACATCAATGTAAAATCAGACAAACAGTGCAAACATCAAAACATCACATCAATGTAAGATCAAACATACTGTCCACACATCAAAACATCACATGAATATATGATAAGACAGACAGTCCAAATATTAAAATATCAAATCAATGTAAGATCAAATATACTATTCACACATTTTAAAACATCACATTAACATACTGTCTACACATCACACATCAAAACACCACACTAAGACTGGCTAATTTATCAAAACATTGCATCAATGTAAGCTGGAACACTACGACAGGGCTATTCAACTCTGTTGACTCAGGGGCCACAGTTTGGAGGATAGGGATTGTCAGGGGCCACAATTTGGTAGATGGATATCATCAGGGGCCACAATTTGGAAGATTGTGATCGTCATGGCCCAGATCTCTGAGGCCCAGCATAGAAAGATCATTAATGCAAAACAACTGGCAGACATCAGTGGGCAACTTGCTAGGCCTCCATAGACCAGATTTGGAACACGGGCCACCAGCTAAATAGCCTTGCACTACAGGAATATCATCTTGTCTAAGCTAAAGAAGACAGTGAGATGGGAAAGGGGGGGAGGAACCAGAGTCAAAGCACATGACTGGGAGAGAGTGAGACACCAAAGTGGAGACAGTGAGACAGAGAATGAGATAGGAAGTGGGACAGACAGGGAGTAAGAGAGAGACAAAGTTAGAGAGAGTATGATTCAGAGTGAGTTAGAGAGAAAGATAAGAGTCAGTGAAATAGAACGAACGAACGAACAAACAAACTTTATTTTCAAAGGGTTACTAATTGGGCGCGCAGGCCTGTCTGACATTCGGCCCTTCTAAGCACTCATTTTTCAGAGTTCCAATGCCTGTTATCAATATGCGTAGAGAGAGAGTAAGACAGAGAGAGCAACAAGTCAGACACAGAGAACAAGACAGACAGATAAAATGAGACAGAGAGATGGCGATACATGAAATAATTAATAATGCTGATTCTGAAACAAATGATAAAGTATTGTCCAACATGTTGCGTTGATGATCTTAGCAAGTACAATGATCCATTTACCAGGATTACATTGTACATCAACAACTTCAGTTTCTGTAGGTACAGGGGTATGTGAGTTGTAGGTACATGGGTATGTGAGTTGTTGTAGGTACAGGGGTAAGTGAGCTGTTGTAGGTACAGGGGTACATGAGCTGTTGTAGGTACAGGGGTACATGAGCTGTTGTAGGTACAGGGGTATGTGAGCTGTTGTAGGTTCAGGTGTATGTGAGTTGTAGGTACAGGGGTATATGAGCTGTTGTAGGTACAGGACTATGTGAGCTGTTGTAGGTACAGGGGTATGTGAGCTGTTGTAGGTACAGGATTATGTGAGTTGTTGTACGTACAGGGGTATGTGAGTTGTTGTAGGCACAGGGTTATGTAAGCAGTTGTAGGTACAGGGGTATGTGAGCTGTTGCAGGTACAGGGGTATGTGAGCTGTTGTAGGTACAGGGGTATGTGAGCTGTTGTAGGTACAGGGGTATGTGAGCTGTTGTAGGTACAGGGGTAAGTGAGCTGTTGTAATTACAGGGGTATGTGAGTTGTTGTACATACAGGGATAAATGAGTTGTAGGTACAGGGGTATGTGAGCTGTCGTAGGTACAGGGGTATGTGAGCTGGTGAAGGTACAGAGCTATTTAAACTGTTGTAGGTACAGGAGTATGTAAGCAGTTGTAGGTACAGAGCATTAGGCTAATGTATCTCTAACTGTTATTAAACTGTAATTATAACAGTAATACTATGCCACTTGCAGTGGCACATATCTGAGCTGTTGCTTGCTCTCCATCTTACCTGGCATTAGAGAGATCCGATTTGACTGGGATGTAGTGGACCCAGGGCTTAAGTGCTGGGTAAAAAAATTCCAACCACTCAGAGCCCACATGGAAAACTGTTGAGTTACAAAGGAATAAATGTTTCAAGCGAAAGCTGGCTGCCACCCCTCGGAAGTTGAACAGATATCTGCAATATGGTAAATACACACACAGTTAAAGTCAAGCCACCATAAAAACCCTGACACAGACAAATAACAACTCTGATAGACATAAACAACAACTCTGACACAGACAAACAACAATAGTATTATTTGCGGAAATCACCCCATTTTGCTCGGGCACGAGATTTTGTGGCCGCTCCCACAGGCTGTCCTATGTTCTAGTGGTGTCAAGTGTTGCTTATTTTGAACGTTTTAAGCACATCCACCACTGATAACAGCCTGTGAATGAGCGTCAAAATACAAAAACATCAATGATTTGATACTCATGAACCATCGCACCATTGGCAGCTGCTACTGCAGTACTTCTTCCTTGGACACAAGTAACTGCGGCTACACATTCAGGATACACATTCGAGAAACAACACTCATTAACAGAAAAGACTGTTGTGACAAGAAAGCTGTGCAGTTTCATCTGGATAACAGTACATCAACCACGTTGAACAAATGCGAGCCAGTTTTCACCACGGTGTGTATACAAGCGGAAGGAAGGCGTCTCACAACACCCCTACATCATAAGACAGCCCTGGGAACAGCCACTAAATTTGACATCCGAGCAAGATGGAGTTAATTCTGTGATTAGTCCCACAATAACTCTGACACAGACAAAAAACAACCCTGATACAGACAAACAACAACACCGACACAAACAACAACACCGACACAGACAAACAACAACCCTGACAGACGCAAAACTAGACAGGTAAAACAGAACAATATGTAGTATTCTATGCATGCTTTTAAGTGACTTCAGAGATCTGTGACAGATAAACAGGCATGATTAACACAGACCCTGTAGGGGACTACATATAGATCCTTCATAACTCTTTTGGGGACAACAGATGGATCCTTACATAGACAATGTTGGGGACAACAGATAGATCCTTACATAGACAATGTTGGGGACCACAGATGATCCTAACAGGGGCAATGTTGGGATCATGGATGGATCCTTACATAGATAAAGTTGGGGACCATGGATCCTTACAAAGACAAAATCAACCAACACAGAACAGGCGTCATCAGTCGTTTTACACTTGTGGAGCTTTTGAGGAGATCAGAGCAGCTATGGATCTGTCCGGAGTGCTGTGATGATAATCCTTTCTAATCACTAATCACTATAGACAAAATTGTCTACCACGGATGGATCCTTACATAGATAATGTAGGGAAAAACAGATGGATCCTAACACAGACCCTGTAGCTGACTTAAATGGACCTTAACAAATCATTGTAGGTAGGCATGAATGGATCCTAACACAAACAAGAGACACATGTCAACATAATCCATTGGACACAGTTACAGAAAATACAGTCTGTGTCAAAATGGGTAACTTGGGACACACATAAAATACTGGAAATCTCAGGCAATAGGAGTCACCTGGTACATGGCTAGGGAAAACTTTAGTCACCTGGGACACAGCTAGGAAGATATGAGTCATCTGGGACACAGCTAAGGAAGACATGAGTAATCTGGGACTCAACTAGGGAAGACATGAGTCACTAGAGAGTTAGCTAGGTAAGACATGAGTCACATAGGACATGGTTCCGGAAGACAAGAGTCACCTGGGGCACGGTTAGGGAAGACATGAATCACCTGGGACACAGCTAGGGAAGACATGAGTCACATAGGACACAGCTCCGGAAGACATGAGTCACCTGGGACACAGCTAGGGAGGACATTAGTTGCCTGGGACACAGCTAGAGAAGATATGAGTCACCTGGGACATGGCTAGGGAAGACATGAGTCACTTGGGACACAGCTAGGGAAGACAAGAGTCACCTAGGGCGTGGCTAGGGAAGACATGTAGACATGAGTCAATTGGGTCACAGCTAGGGAAGACATGAGTCACCTGGGACATGGCCAGAGAAGACATGAGTCCCTTGGGGCAGGGCTCAGGAAGACATGAGTCACCTGGGATACGGTTAGGAAGGACATGTAGACATGAGTCACCTGGGACACAGCTAGAGAAGACATGAGTCACCTGGGACACAGCTAGGGAAGACATTAGTCACCTTAGACATGGCTAGGGAAGACATGAGTCACCTGGGACATGGCTAGAGAAGACATGTAGACATAAGTCACCTGGTACACAGCTAGGGAAGACATGAGTCACCAGTAACTTAACTGGAGAAGACATGAGTCACCTGGGGCATGGATAGGGAAGACATGTAGACTTAAGTCACCTGGGACACAGCTAGGGAAAACATGAGCCACCTGGTACACAGCTATCGAAGACATGAGTCACCAGGGACTTAGCTAGGGAAGACATGAGTCGCATAGGACACTGCTTGGGAAGACATGAGTCACCTGGGACACAGCTATGGAAGACATGAGTCACCTGGGACATGGCTAGGGAAGACCACAGTCACCTTGGACACAGCTGGGAAGACATGAGTTACCTGTATTTGCAGTGATCCTCCAGTTTTACTTCGGCTGCTGGTGGCCGGTACAGCGTATCCTGGTAAAATGGGAACATGAAAAAACATGTCTTACACTGGGGAACAATGGGGTAAACAATGTGCACTGAAAAAACACAGGTAGACTAAAGTGTATAACACTACAGACAGACATCTGTAACACTCTGCAGTGTGTCACAGCGTATACAGACATCTGTATGCGTAAGAGCACAGACAGACATCTGTAACAGTCTGCAGTGTGTAAGATCACAGACAGACATCTGTAACAGTCTGCAGTGTGAAAGATCACAGACAGACATCTGTAACAGTCTGCAGTGTGAAAGATCATAAACAGACATCTGTAACAGTCTGCAGTGTGTAACATCACAGACAGACATCTGTAACAGTCTGCAGTGTTTAAGACCACAGACAGACATCTGTAACAGTCTGCAGTGTGTAAGATTACAGACAAACACTCATAATAGACAACTGTGTTGACACAGGCATTTATAATGGTCTGAAGTGTGTAAGATCACAGACATACATTTATAACAGACAAAAGTGTGTTATATATCAGACAGACATCTACTATAGATCTAATTTCAACAAACACGTGCCTCCTCAGATTTCCATGCCTGATTTTTCGTGTACTGTGCATCCACTAGGTCAGGTTCTGCTCGTGACAATAAGATCAAGGGGTCCCTCTCTGCACTGGTCCGAGAACCACGGAAGAAAGCTTGATCCTCTTTTTTCTCCCAAGGCCATTTCTCAGCTGCCCTATAGGACATACATGTATTAATCCTGTCAATTATCTATGTCTTAAGAGCCATACACAACACAACACCGAACCCCAACAATTATCTGTGCCTCAACAACTATTTATCAAACAATCCCAAACAATTATCTGTGCCTCAACAACTATTTATCAAACAATCCCCAACAATTATCCATGTCTCAACACCTATACATCACTCAACACAGAACTCCAACAATTATTTATGTCTCAACAACTATACAGCACACAATACAGAACCCAAAATATTATGCATGTCTCAACAACTATTTATCAAACAATCCACCAAAAAACAAAGAAAAACAATTATCCATGTCTCAGCAACTATTTATCAAACAATCCACCAAAAAACAAAGAAAAACAATTATCCGTGTCTCAGCAACTATTTATCAAACAATCCACCAAAAAACAAAGAAAAACAATTATCCGTGTCTCAGCAACTATTTATCAAACAATCCACCAAAAAACAAAGAAAAACAATTATCCATGTCTCAGCAACTATTTATCAAACAATCCACCAAAAAACAAAGAAAAACAATTATCCATGTCTCAACAACTATTTATCAAACAATCCACCAAAAAACAAAGAAAAACAATTATCCATGTCTCAGCAACTATTTATCAAACAATCCACCAAAAAACAAAGAAAAACAATTATCCATGTCTCAGCAACTATTTATCAAACAATCCACCAAAAAACAAAGAAAAACAATTATCCATGTCTCAACAACTATTTATCAAACGATCCACCAAAAAACAAAGAAAAACAATTATCCATGTCTCAGCAACTATTTATCAAACAATCCACCAAAAAACAAAGAAAAACAATTATCCATGTCTCAACAACTATTTATCAAACAATCCACCAAAAAACAAAGAAAAACAATTATCCATGTCTCAGCAACTATTTATCAAACAATCCACCAAAAAACAAAGAAAAACAATTATCCAACAACTATATATCAAATAATCCCCAATAATTATCTGTGTCTCAACAACTATATATCACACAATACAAAACCCCAAAGATTATCTTTGTTTTTTCTCAACAACTATATATCAAACAATCGCCAACAATTATCTGTGTCTCAACAACTATATATCACACAATACAAAACCCCAAAGATTATCTATGTCTCAACAACTATATATCAAACAATCGCCAACAATTATCTGTGTCTCAACAACTATACATCACACAACACAGAACCCTAAGAGTAATCCATAACCCAACAACTACAAGTGGGCTTAAATGAAAACCTTAACACAGTAACCATGCCTCTGTTCGGTAACCTGTCAACATTGTTAAGATTGTCAAGAGAGTCAGGCATGTGAAATCATGGGCAGATGAACATGGTGATGTCAGAATGATAATTTAAAGATGGATGCCTCACTTTTAAAATAAAATAGGAAAGCAGACAACATCAATGGAGCAGTGGAGCCACTGGACGGCAGCCGTCTGCTCTCAGTGACCCCAAGAATCATCTAGAGCTGAGTATGAGGAGCTGTCATAACAGTCCGACAGCAGACACGGTCACAAAAGTCAGAGAGAAGGCAGTGGCACAACAGTTAGAGAGAAGAAATTGTCCCAACAGTTAGAGAGAAGACTGTCACAACAGTTAGAGAGAGGACTGTCACAACAGTTAGATAGAAGACATTGTTACAAAATAAAAGAGAAGACTTTCAACAGTCAGAGAGAAGACATAACAGTTAGAGAGAAGTTGTTACAACAGTAAGAGAAAAGACATTGTCACAGCAGTTAGAAGACATTGTCCCAACAGTTTTTATGAAGACTGTCACAACAGTTAGAGAGAAGATTGTCACAACAGTTAGAGAGAAGACAGTCCCAACAGTTAGAGAGAAAACAGTCCCAACAGTTAGAGAGAAGACTGTCACAACAGTTAGAGAGAAGACTGTTACAACAGTTAGAGAGAAGACTGTCACAACAGTTAGAGAGAAGACTGTCACAACAGTTAGAGAGAAGACAGTCCCAACAGTTAGAGAGAAGACTGTCACAACAGTTAGAGAGAAGACTGTCACAACAGTTAGAGAGAAGACTGTCACAACAGTTAGAGAGAAGACTGTCACAACAGTTAGAGAGAAGACATTGTGATAACATAAAAGAGAAGACTTTCAACAGTCAGAGAGAAGAAATTGTCCCAACAGTTAGAGAGAAGACATTGTCATAACATTTACAGAGAAGACTCACAACAGTTAGAGAGAAGACATTGTCGCAACATTTACAGAGACGACTCACAACAGTTAGAGAGAAGACATTGTCACAACAGTTAGAGAGAAGACTGTCACAACAGGTAGAGAGAAGACATTGTCACAACAGGTAGAGAGAAGACATTGTTCCAACAGTTAGAGGGAGGACTGTCACAACAGTTAGAGAGAAGACTGTCTCAACAGTTAGAGAGAAGACATGTCACATCAGTCAGAAAGAAGACTGTCACAGCAGACAGAGAGAAGATATTGTCACAACAGTTAGAGAGAATACTGTCACAACAGTTAGAAAGAAGACATTGTTACAACATTAAAAAGAAGACTTTCAACAAAGAGAAGACATTGTCATAACAGTTAGAGAGAAGACTGTCACAAGAGTTAGAGAGAAGATGTTACAACAGTTAGAGAGAAGACATTATCGCAACAGTTAGAGAGAAGACTGTCACAACAGTTAGAGAGAAGACATTGTCACAACAGGTAGAGAGAAGACATTGTTCCAACAGTTAGAGAGAAGATATTGTCACAACAGTTAGAGAGAAGACTGTCACAACAGTTAGAAAGAAAACATTGTCACAACAGTTTGAGAGAAGACATTGTCAAAACAGTAAGAGAGAAGACTGTCTGTCACAACAGTTAGAGAAAAGACACTGGCACAACAGTAAGAGAGAAGACAGTCACAACAGTTAGAAAGAAGACATTGTCACAAGAGTTAGAGAAAAGACACTGACACAACAGTTAGAGAGAAGACACTGTCACAACAGTTAGAAAGAAGACATTGTCACAACAGTCTGAGAGAAGATATTGTCACAACAGTTACAGAGAAGACTGTCACAACAGTTAGAGAGAAGACACAGTCACAACAGTCAAAGAGAAGACATTGTCACAACAGTCAGAGAGAAGACATTGTCACAACAGTCAGAGAGAAGACATTGTCACAACAGTTAGAAAGAAGACATTGTCACAACAGTCAGAGAGAAGACATTGTCACAATAGTTAGAGTGAAGACATTGTCACAACAGTCAGAGAGAAGACATTGTCACAACAGTTAGAGAGAAGACTGTCACAACAGTTAGAGAGAGGACATTGTCACATCAGTCAGAAAGATGACTGTCACAGCAGATAGAGAGAAGACATTGTCACAACAGTTAGAAAGAAGACATTGTCATAACAGTTAGAGAGAAGACTGTCACAAGAGTTAGAGAGAAGATGTTACAACAGTTAGAGAGAAGACATCCCAACAGTTAGAGAGAAGACTGTCACATCAGTTAGAGAGAAGACATTGTCACAACAGTTACAGAGAAGACTCACGACAATTAGAGAGAAGATATTGTCACAACAGTTAGAGAGAAGACTGTCACAACAGTTAGAAAGAAAACACTGTCACAACAGGTAGAGAGAAGACATTGTTCCAACAGTAAGAGAGAAGACTGTCACAACAGTTAGATAAAAGACACTGGCACAACAGTAAGAAAGAAGACTGTCACAACAGTTAGAAAGAAGACATTGTCACGACAGTTAGAGAGAAGACATTGTCACAACAGTTAGAGAAAAGACACTGACACAACAGTTAGAGAGAAGACACTGACACAACAGTTAGAGAGAAGACACTGTCACAACAGTTGGAAAGAAGACATTGTCACAACAGTAAGAGGGAAGACATTGTCACAACAGTTACAGAGAAGACTGTCACAACAGTTAGAGAGAAGACACTGTCACAACAGTCAGAGAGAAGACATTGTCACAATAGTTAAAGTGAAGACATTGTTACAACAGTCAGAGAGAAGACATTGTCAAAACAGTTATAGTGAAGACACTGCCATACAGTCAAACAGCAGAAACTGCTACAACAGTCAGAGAGAAGACATTGTCACAACAGCACAGTCAGTCAGAGAGAAGACATTGTCAAAACAGTTATAGTGAAGACACTGCCATACAGTCAAACAGCAGAAACTGCTACAACAGTCAGAGAGAAGACATTGTCACAACAGTTATAGTGAAGACACTGCCATACAGTCAGACAGCAGAAACTGCTACAACAGTCAGAGAGAAGACATTGTCACAACAGTTATAGTGAAGGCACTGCCATACAGTCAGACAGCAGAAACTGCTACAACAGTCAGAGAGAAGACATTGTCACAACAGTTATAGTGACAGTCACACTGCCATACAGTCAGACAGCAGAAACTGCTACAACAGTTAGAGAGAAGACATTGTCACAACAGTTATAGTGAAGACACTGCCATACAGTCAGACAGCAGAAACTGCTACAACAGTCAGAGAGAAGACATTGTCACAACAGTTATAGTGAAGACACTGCCATACAGTAGAAACTGCTACAACAGTCAGAGAGAGAAGACACTTTCACAACAGTTAGAGAGAAGACACTGACACAATAGTCAGAAAGCAGAAACTGCCACAACAGTCAGACAGCAGAAACTGTCACAGCAGTCAGACAGCAGAAACTGCCACAACAGTCAGACAGCAGAAACTGTCACAGCAGTCAGACAGCAGAAACAGTCACAGTAGTCAGACAGCAGAAACAGTCACAACAGTCATACAGCAGAAACTGTCACAACAGTGAAAGAGCAGAAACTGTTATACCTGTCAGAAAATAAAAACTACAACACCTGATAGACTGGAGAACATGGACAGCACCCACCTGGAAATGATGTCCCTTTGCAGGTCCCAGCGGCCTAGGCCTGTGGGGTAGATGGGCCACACAGCAGGCCCCCCCTCCCAGAAAGTCCATGCAGGATACATGATGTCCCAGTGATGCCGTACCTGGGGAGAAGTCACAGTCATGCTGCAATATCTGGCACCTACAATCTTTCATACTCACAACTGTTTTTTTTTCCAGGTGTTAGACACAGGGGTCCAGATTATTTCAACATGTGGAGAAGGGAATTGGAAAACCTGACGACAACTGGCAAACTTGAGAGGCAAAGACAGAGAGAGACAAATGTCTAAGCATTTGGTCATGTGGTATGAGACAGAGACCCAGAAAGAGAGACAGACAGCTGGGGGAGACAGAGAAACAAATGCCTGATCATTTGGTCATATGACATAAGAGAGCAAAAGAGAGAGAGAGAGAGATACAGAGAGAGAGACAGAGAGAGAGCTAGGGAAGACAAAGAGACTCACACCAGGATGACTTGGTCACATGACATGTGAAGGACAAGAACACAGACATGATCGATGGCAGACAACTGAGAGACATAGTGAACCTTGGCCGCTTTCTCTACACCCATTTGCCTGGGATCTACAGACAAACAAAACACACCAGTTAGTGAAATCACAGCTCCTGCCCCCCCCCCCCCCCCATGTAGTCATACAGCTACAGCAATCTTCACAGAACATCTGCTCGCCTAGTTTCTCTGCCTCCCACACAACAATACCACACACTGCCTTGCTTATCTGCCTTTCACACAACAATACCACATACTGCCTGGCTTCTCTGCCTCCAAAAAAACAATTCCACACATTTCCTGGCTTCTCTGCCTCCCACACAATAATACCACACACTGCCTGGCTTCTCTGCCTCCCAGACAATAATACCACATACTGACTAGCTTCCTCTGCCTCTTACACAATAACAAACACTGCCTGGCTTCTCTGTCTCCCACACAACAATACCACACACTGCCTGACTTATCTGCCTCCCACACAACAATACCACATACTGCCTGGCTTATCTGTCTCCCACAACAACACCACACATTGCCTGGCTTCTCTGCCTCCCACACAACAATACTACACACTGCCTGGCTTCTCTGCCTCCAACACAATACCACACATTGCCTGGCTTCTCTGCCTCCCACACAACAATACTACACACTGCCTGGTTTCTCTGCCTCCCACACAATACCACACATTGCCTGGCTTCTCTGCCTCCCGCACAATACCTCACATTGCCTGGCTTCTCTGTCTTCCACACAATACCACACATTGCCTGGCTTCTCTGTCTCCCACACAATACCACACACTGCCTGGCTTCTCTGCCTCCCACACAATACCTCACATTGCCTGGCTTCTCTGTCTTCCACACAATACCACACATTGCCTGACTTCTCTGTCTCCCACACAATACCACACACTGCCTGGCTTCTCTGCCTCCCACACAACAATATCACACATTGCCTGGCTTCTCTGCCTCCCACATAATAATACCACAAACACAATTACATACAATCAGCGAAGAAAGTCAGCAAACAAATGAACATACAGGAACACACACACAGCACAGAGAACAAACAAGACTAATGGAACAGCAGACAGGGAACAGTGCACAGGGGATAGAACAAAAGGGATAGTGCACAGAAGACAGAACACAAGGGAAAGTGCACAGGGGACAGAACACAAGTTTAAGGGTGTTTACTTACACCTGAACTGACATAAGGACAGATAATGACTTGTGGTATGAGGTGTTCAAACTCCACTACACCTGAAGTGGTATGAGGTGACATAAGGACAGATATTGACTTGTGGTATGAGGTCTCCAACTACTACCTGAACTGACATAAGGACATATATTGACTCGTGGTATGAGGTGTTCAACTCCACTACACCTGAACTGACATAAGGACAGATATTGACTTGTGGTATGAGGTCTCCACTACACCTAAACTGACATAAGGACAGATATTGACTAGTGGTATGAGGTGTACAACTCCATTACACCTGTCTGAACTGACATAAGGACAGATATTGACTTGTGGTATGAGGTCTCCACTACACCTGAACTGACATAAGGACATATATTGACTCGTGGTATGAGGTGTTCAACTCCACTACACCTGAACTGACATAAGGACAGATATTGACTTGTGGTATGAGGTCTCCACTACACCTAAACTGACATAAGGACAGATATTGACTAGTGGTATGAGGTGTACAACTCCATTACACCTGCCTGAACTGACATAAGGACAGATATTGACTTGTGGTATGAGGTCTCCACTACACCTGAACTGACATAAGGACATATATTGACTTGTGGTATGAGGTGTTCAACTCCACTACACCTGAACTGACATAAGGACAGATATTGACTTGTGGTATGAGGTCTCCACTACATCTGAACTGACATAAGGACAGATATTGACTTGTGGTATGAGGTCTCCACTACACCTGAACTGACATAAGGACAGATATTGACTTGTGGTATGAGGTCTCCACTACACCTGAACTGACATAAGGACAGATATTGACTTGTGGTATGAGGTCTCCACTAAACCTGAACTGACATAAGGACATATATTGACTTGTGGTAGGAGGTGTTCAACTCCACTACACCTGAACTGAATAAGGACAGATATTGACTACTGGTATGAGGTGTTCAACTCCATTACACCTGCCTGAACTGACATTAGGACAGATATTGACTTGTGGTATGAGATGTTTAACTCCACTACACCTGAACTGACATAAGGACAGATAATGACTTGTGGTATGAGGTGTTTAACTCCACTACACCTGAACTGACATAAGGACAGATAATGACTTGTATGAGGTGTTCAACTCTGCTACACCTGAACTGACTTAAGGACAGGTACTGACTAGTGGTATGAGGTGTTCAACTCCATTACACCTGCCAGAACTGACACAAGGACAGATACTGACTTGTGGTATGAGGTGTTTAACTATTACACCTGAACTGACATAAGGACAGATAATGACTTGTGGTAGGAGGTGTATAACTCCACTACACCTGAACTGACATAAGGACAGATATTGACTTGTGGTATGAGGTCTCCACTACACCTGAACTGACATAAGGACATATACTGACTTGTGGTATGAGATGTTTAACTTCACTACACCTGAACTGACATAAGGACAGATATTGACTTGTGGTATGAGGTCTCCATTACACCTGAACTGACATAAGGACAGATATTGACTTGTGGTATGAGGTGTTCAACTCCACTACACCTGAACTGACATAAGGACATATATTGACCTGTGGTATGAGGTCTCCACTACACCTGAACTGACATAAGGACATATATTGACTTATGGTATGAGATGTTCAACTCCACTACACCTGAACTGACATAAGGACAGATATTGACTTGTGGTATGAGGTCTCCACTACATCTGAACTGACATAAGGACAGATATTGACTTGTGGTATGAGGTCTCCACTACACCTGAACTGACATAAGGACATATATTGACTTGTGGTATGTGATGTTCAACTCCACTACACCTGAACTGACATAAGGACAGATATTGACTTGTGGTATGAGATGTTCAACTCCACTACACCTGAACTGACATATGGACAGATATTGACTTGTGGTTTGAGATGTTCAACTCCACTACACCTGAACTGACATAAGGATATATATTGACTTGTGGTATGAGATGTTCAACTCCACTACACCTGAACTGACATAAGGACAGATATTGACTTGTGGTATGAGGTCTCCACTACACCTGAACTGACATAAGGACAGATATTGACTTGTGGTATGAGGTGTTAGACTACACTACACCTGAACTGACATAAGGACAGATATTGACTTGTGGTATAAGGTGTTCAACTCCACTACACCTGAACTGACATAAGGACAGATATTGACTTGTGGTATGAGGTGTTCAACTCCACTACACCTGAACTGACATAAGGACAGATATTGACTTGTGTTATGAGGTGTTCAACTCTACACCTGAACTGATATAAGGACAGATATTGACTTGTAATAGGGGTTCAACTCAGCCATACCTGAACTGACATAAGGACAGACATTGACTTGTGGTATGAGGTGTTCATCTGCGCTACACCTGAACTGACATAAGGACAGATATTGATTGGTGGTATGAAGTGTTTAACTCCACTACACCTGAACTCCTTGTCATTGAGAGTTAGAAAAAGAATTCTTGCTTGCTACAGTTTTAACATATGGCTGTGAATCCTAGACAATCGGTAGGCAGGCCAAACAATTTCTGGAGGCCTCGGAGATGTGGTTTTACAGAAGAATGCTTAGAATACCTTGGACAGCCAAAAAGAGCAACCAAGAGGTTTTGAAAGAGGCAGGAGCCCGAAGACAACTTATCACAGACATGAGAAGGAGACAGTCATCATTTTGCAGCCATGTTATGAGAAGAGGGAAAATAGAACATGCTGTGACCACTGGAAAGATCTGTGGAAGAAGGGATAGAGGAAGACAACGAGAGAAGATGCTTGACAGTCTTGTTGCTTGGCATGGAGGTGTGTCGGCACACGAACTGATACATGCTGCAGGAGATAGCAGATTATGGAGAGGCCAGTCGACAAGGCACCTGATGATGATGATGACACCTGAACTGAAACAAGGACAGATAGTGATTTGTTATATGAGGTGTTTAACTCGGCTACATCTGAACTGAAACAAGAACAGACTTGTTGTATGAGGTGTTAACACAAGAACAGATCACTCATCATGTATTTAGGTGACAGTAGGAAGTCAGCAAGGAAATGTAGTCCTGCCATTATCACTAACTTACCAGAAAGGGGACATACAGTCCTGCTCTTTGTACAGTCAGCAATAACTCACCTGAATGAGAACTTACAGTCCTGCTGTCAGTACGTCAGCAAAAACTCACCTGAATGGGAACTAGAGTCCTGCTGTCGGTGGAGTCAGCAATAACTCACCTGAAAGGGAACATACAGTCCTGCTGTCGATACAGTTCATGTTTGATGATCTGATAGTGGACACCATAGGCTTTGGCTGCTTTCACATCCTCTTCCTTGATGGTCTTCTCATTCCAGATCTTCAGGTCCTCTGTCAGCACACTGAGGAATGTCAGATCAGATTACAGATCACAGGTCAGCAAACTGGCATTGTAGGGTGAGGTAGACATCAGAGACAGACAGAGATAGAAATATCAAAACATCATTTTGGAGGTCAAAAGGAAAGAGCACTGTTTGGATCTTCTCCTTGGCCTACGCTGCTGTGCTGGGAAATGAACAAACATACATATTGGCAGGCTATGCACAACTTTGTGGAATACTGATGTATGATAAGGCAGACATGGTTAAGGCCTTATGGGAGCATGTGTACAGTTTGGAACTAAAAACTGATCATCAGTCTGATGAGAATGATGCAGTGCGGAGTAATGAGGGGATCTGGCCGTTACTTGACAATCTGAGGAAAGGCAAGATGGACAGATGGACATATAATCACTTACTGGCACCACTGGTATTGGAACTTTAAGCTGACTGCTGAAGAAGGGCGCAAAGTGTTAAATTAACACATCAGAGGTATTAATATCAAAATATCTTGAAATAGCACATCAAAGACAGAAATTACATCTCTGAGACAAACATCAACATTTAAAAAATCGTGACAACAGCACCGCTAATGGAGTACTTACAGAATATGACTACAGAAACAAAAACAATGACAAGCAGGCAAACATCAAGGCACAAAGTCGAAAAATTAATACATATCACACTAAAATTACCTGAGGAAACACGAACAGTCTTTGTTGGAACAGTCAGTGTAACTTGCAACAGCACTGTCAACTAATTCTGTGTAATGTGACCACTGAGAGGCTGCCAGCAAAGAGCAGACACCATATATATAACCAAATGCAACCAGCTGACACCATACATATAATTTCATACAACACTGCAAACAGCCGGTACCATTCATATAACCACATGCAACCAGCTGACACCATACAAAGAACTACATGGAACCAGCAGACACTACACATAAAACCACACACAACAAGCTGACACCAAACATATAACAACATGCAGCACTGCAAACAGCTGCCATCATACCTATAACCACATGCAACAAGCAGAGACCATACATATAACCACATACACCACTCCAAACAGCAGTCATCATACATGCAACCACATGCACCACTCTAAATACAAGACAATATAAATATAACCACATACACCACTCCAAACAGTAGACAATATAAATATAACCACATACACCACTCCAAACAGTAGACAATATAAATATAACCACATACACCACTCCAAACAGCAGACATCATAAATGCAATCACACACACCACTCCAAACAGCAGACAATATAAATATAACCACATACACCACTCCAAACAGCAGACATCATACATGCAACCACACACACCACTCCAAACAGTAGACAATATAAATATAACCACATACACCACTCCAAACAGAAGACATCATACATGCAATCACACACACCACTCCAAACAGCAGACAATATAAATATAAAAACATACACCACTCCAAACAGCAGACATTATACATGCAGCCACACACACCACTCTAAACAGCAGACATCACGCATGGGGGGGGGGGGGTGACTTGAAAATGAGGTACTTTGCCATGGATAGCAGAAGCTAAGAACTAAAAATGTCTTTATACACGACAGAAAATACTTCTAAAACAAGCTGGGGGGGGGGGGCGTAGTTACAACAGCTGGATACCAAGTTCCAGTGAAAATCAACAGTTCCCTAACTTTCAGTATTTTTTTTTTTTTTATGTTTACGAAACAACTTTCTGCAAACCAAAAAAATATTCACAATTTTGATAATAATTTATACTAAGTGAAAAAAAGATCTAAGTGAAGTTCGTTCATGAGATATGGATAATTTCATTTTCAATATTTTTGCTGTAGGAAACATGTTTGACTGTGTGCAAGGTGGAACGTGACTAAACTACCCTTGGTATATTTGGACTTTTCGTGGTCTGCATGACCGGAGACACACAGACTGCCGGTGTAGACGAGCAGGAAGACAGGAGAGGAGAAGAAAGCCACGACAGACAGGCCGGCCATTCTACGTCTACTGCTACCAGCGGTGTGGTGTTGTCCTCTACACTTTAGCAGTGGCAAATCTCCCCTCTTCTACGAGTCACTTCGCATTCTTCTTCAGCCTACTCTTCAAGCTACGTTTGTGTCAAGTATTTCGCAGTTTGTCATTTTGTAAAGCTCGCTAACTTTTTTCCCTAATATTTTACATGTTTTTTTTTTATTTCTTCACAGCAGTTCAATCATTTCAGCTACCTCGTGTGTCCTGCTCTCTCATAATTGTTACTGTTTGTTTGTGCCTGTCACACTCGTCTAAATTGTGTTATTTTACTCATTTAATTTTGTGATTTTTGTATTCGTATTTTTAAATTATTAATTCCCCCCCCCCCCCCCTCTTCAAGATAACTGAGAATCAAACCAGTGCAAAATGCCGGAAACTCCGTTCAGCCGTATAGTCATGTAATGCAGTCTCACTGGGACACCACAAAAGGATGACAAGTAACCCGTCGTCAAGCTCTTTAATGGCACCTTTGACCTCTTACATCTCCGTGACCTCCTCATGTCCTTAGTCCACTTGGTTCCCATTTCATTGTCTGTTTGATGTTTTTTTCCCTTCTCCTAAGTGTGTCTACAATAAGTTGATAACCTTATATTTCTCTGATAAATATCGATATCACTGTTGTCACTAAATATCTCTTTAATCTTTCCCTCTCTTGAACTCATCCCAACAAAAAATATTCATTAATTTAATTAGACATTTGTTTTCGAATGCATAAACTTGCGTTCCATGTCTTTACTTTTTTTTCCTCAAATTTCCTTGACATGTTCTGAAACTTAAAAAAAAAAAAAAAAACTTACATTAAAAATATGTAATTGGGTTTTTTGGTCCAACATCAGAAATTGAGGATCATTATGAGAAGTAAAGAGTTTCCAAAGCATTTGGTGCATTTAATTGAAAATCTTTATCTTGAACAACAAGCAGCCATCAGAGCAGCTGGTGAAACATCGAATAGGTTCGAGGTGCAAAACAGAGTGAGGCGCTGGGTGCATTATCTCACCATACCTATTCAATATATACGCAGAAAATATAATGAGAAATGTCAAAAATGACCAAACTTGTGACAGTTATGATTGGTGGCAACTCTATTCCGGAACTTCGATATGCAGATGACACAGTCCTCCTTTCGAACAGCGTAAAACAAATAGAAAATTTAAAAATGTCTGTCCAAAAGCACAATGAAGATCACAATTGATTCTTGAATTTTAAGAAAACAAAAATATTATCCACAGATAAAACTGGCTGCCACCCAAAAATAACAATAAATGATGAAGAAAGTGAGAATGTCACAAACTTTGAATATCTAGGCTCTACAATAAATAACAATGGAGGTTAGTTGAGTATCCTTTACACGACGTTACAGAACCAACCCCAACAGCCCCTGGCTGTTGTGTGATTTTTCTAGGCAAATTTAAGTCGAATAGTTTGTCATTGCTACTGGACGGTCGGCTTTCTTGATACCACTGTCGAAACTAACGCAAGGCGCATGACCCGCAGTTGGGATCGAACCCGGCTTCCTGGCATTACGAAGCGTTAGCATCGACTTAGCCACTAAGAATGGAGACTGACAGAAATTAAAAGGAGGATGGCCATAGCAATGCAGAGATTAAACAGACTTAAAAGTCTTTGGTTAAGCACCAGCAATGAGATCAAAATAAGAATTTTGAGAGCATGCCTTTTCCCTGAAGCAACATACGGATGTGAAACGTAAACTATCTTCCAAACATTAAGAAAGAGAATGAGGGCTTTTGAGCTTAAAGATTCTCAAAATATCTTGGACAAAGAAGAGGAGAAACACCGAAATCTTGAAAGATCTGATCATCATGGAAGATTGGCTAATAAACAGCATCCTGTCTCGGAAGCTGAAATATTTTGGTCATATCAAGCGCCACGACGGATTAGAAAAAAATTATAGCAGAAGGCATGGTACCAGGAAGGAGGGACAGGAGCCGACCGACACGACCCTAACCCTAACCCTAACCCTAAAATTGGCTGTAGATAAATCGCGAGAAACTACAACCTGAACACCCTAGAATTTATTGGTAATGCCATAACATTCCAAGGTTGCCCACAGCGATCTTCCGTGTAATAGATATTGTATTAATTCTATATTGTCACAAAACAATAGCTACGAACTATCTAATTTAGTAGCGCCTCAAACAGTGAGTACAGGACTTAGTCTCAGTCAAGCAATCAGGTGCCGTCTCCACACTGAAAGTTGACTGCAATGAATCTCTAGCATGCTCTTTCTTTTCTCCTGATTTTACTTTTTTTGTTCGTAAAATTATAGCCCTCGACTTTCCTCTCACCATGGCTTTTATAAGAGTATGTTGTCTTTTTAAGGCATTGTTTTAAGAAAGTACAGAAATTTTATTATCAAGTAACATGGATAACATCCAAGGTAAGATGTATCACAGAGAAAAAGAACAGAATATGACAGACCAAAGCTATATTTGATAAAATGAAGAACGTTGTTTGCAATAAATCTCTGTCATTGAGGTAAAAAACAGAATTCTAGCATGTTTCAAATAGCCAGTTGTGAATCCTGGACAATTAATAAACAGGCCAACTATATCTTGAGGCCCCAAAGATGTGGTTTAACAAAAGAATCCTAAGAATTTCTAGGGCAACTAAAAAAGAGCAACCCAGATGTTTAGAAGTAGGCGAGGGCTCGAAGATAACTTATCACAAACATCAGAAACAGACAGTCATCATTTTTTTTTGTGGCAATGTTATGAGAAGAGAGAAATTGGAACATGTTGTGACGTCAGGAAAGATCTGTGGAAAGAGAGACAGACAACGTGAAAAGATTCTTGATAGCCTGTTGTCATGGTATGGAGGGATGTCAACACACGAACTGATACACGCAGTTGCGAATCGCAGATTGTGAAGAGTCATGATAGCTCACACCAATCGGCATAGCACTTGATGATGATAATAATTTTGACAAGTATCCGAATTATGTGGCTCAAAAAGCAAATGTTTCTGCAGTCTTCAAATTCAGCTCCTCTGTTATTTCATGGACATTATATTAAAAATTGAAAAGGTCAAATCCTCAGAGACGTCTACGGTGTCAAATGTGTCATGAAATATATGTGATAAGAATGTCAGCGCCACAGCTGGATCACAATTGTATCATGAGATAGGTTTATCCTCACGGTACTCCGTGCGCGTGAGGGCTGCCGTGGTGTAGTGGTTAGACTCTCGCCTGCCAATCGGAAGGTCGTGAGTTTGAGTCCTGATGGTGCCAGACTCTTATTTTCAAAAATGGTCTTAGCTCCCAGGTCGACCTAGCCTTGAGTGGGTACCAGGCATAGTTAGTCAGTCTTCCCTCTTGAGCCTAGGGTGGGGCATAGGGCAGAGGTCACAGCTCTCTATGTCTTGCGGTTCGTTGCCACCTGCTGTAGATCGTAGATGTTTATTAGGTCCATAGTTGAGCCTTGCCCAATCAAGGAAGTTAATAAATAATGTCAGCGCTATCGACAAGATGGTGGTCATCTGCAGCTGTGACAAAGCCAGTTAACCAAAGTCATCTTTCATTGCCATCATCTTCTTCTTCTTCTTCATCTTCTTCTTCATCTTCTTCTTCTTCTTCTTCTTCTTCTTCTTCTTTTTCTTCTTCTTCTTCTTCTTCTTCTTCTTCTTCTTCTTCTTCTTCTTCTTCTTCTTCTTCTTCTTCTTCTTCTTCTTCTTCTTCTTCTTCTTCTTCTTCTTCTTCTTCTTCTTCTTCTTCTTCTTCTTCTTCTTCTTCTTCTTCTTCTTCTTCTTCTTCTTCTTCTTCTTCTTTATCTTCTTCTTCCTCTTCTTCTTCTTATTCTTCTTCTTCTTCTTCTTCTTCTTCTTCTTCTTCTTCTTCTTCTTCTTCTTCTTCTTCTTCTTCTTCTTCTTCTTCTTCTTCTTCTTCTTCTTCTTCTTCTTTTTCTTTTTCTTCTTCTTCTTCTTCTTCTTCTTCTTCTTCTTCTTCTTCTTCTTCTTCTTCTTCTTCTTCTTCTTCTTCTTCTTCTTCTTCTTCTTCTTCTTCTTCTTCTTCTTCTTCTTCTTCTTCTTCTTCTTCTTCTTTCTTCTTCTTCTTCTTCTTCTTCTTCTTCTTCTTCTTCTTCTTCTTTTTCTTCTTCTTCTTCTTCTTCTTCTTCTTCTTCTCTACGTCCTCTTCTTCTTCTTCTTCTTCTCTACGTCCTCTTTTACCGCTTCGGATGTCAAGGATATAATGTCCTGCTTCGAGCCCTTTTGGCTGCCTCGATCATAGACACATCATGGTGCTGTAGAGTTTCTCTGATGTTATCTTCCCATCTTGTTCTTAGTCTGCCTCTTGCTTTACATCCCTCTCCTCGTTTGGTATATGCCTTGTATGGTATAGCATCAGAAAGCATTCTCTCCAAGTAGGCAAACCATTTGATTTGTGTCTTTGTAATTTAGAATTGTTCTGTGCAGACTTTATCTCGCATGACCTCATTTCTGATTTTATCTCTTCTGGTCACTCCTACAGTTTTTCTCAGACACCTCATTTCAATGGTTACTAATTTTTCATTACCATCAACGCATGCATTTCCTCAAGAGAATGATGAAAGCGAGACTACAAACAGTGGGTACATGTTATTACTTCCGTTGCTATGGTGTCACGACCTGCAACTTCTTCAAGCGTCCTCCTAACCCCCCTCTTTAATTCAGCACGTACACTTGGTCCATCGTTACTTTTTGTTTGTTGTATATCCTTTAAAGGACGTTGCAAAACCAAACCCAGCATTTTTAGCGGTTTAGGTTTCCTATGACAATTTACGTCTAGTGGTTTTTAATTGCCCACGAACGGTCGGCTCTTGGTACCACTGTCAAAATAAAAGCTGTCGGCAGCTAAATCGCCTCCATTTGAAATCGAGCTGGTATCTGGGAATTATGAAGCGCGTTCGCAATGCCTAAGCCACAGAAGCCGCCTTGCATATTATACAGTTTTGGTTTGTTACCTCTGCTGTTT